ATCCCACATCAATCAATTCCCACACACTAGTCTGATGGAGGCAATTCCTCAACTGGGTCCCTTTCCCCAAGTGACTCTACTTTGTGTCAAGTTGACAAAAACTAACCAGCATGATAAAAACAAGATTTTTAATGATTAATTATCTCATTATAAGGAGGCACATGATTAGAACTCAGTGGATTCATTTGGTTTCACGTCAAAATGTATTTGGGTAGCTAGGAAAGATGGTAGAAACAATTCAGTCACAGGCTGATAGGGAGAATCCTGAACAAATCAGAGAACAGCTCTTCTCTGCAGATCAACTTCAAGTAGCACAACAAGCCCCCCCAAAACACACACACACACACACACACACACACACACACACACACACACACTGCCCCACCACCCCAGCAGTAACAGCTCCTGAAAAGAAAGTGAGGAAAAGGAAGTTGAGCAGTTAGTCTGGGCTGTTTGTGAGTGCCCAGGTAAAGGCCATGCCTGACCCCATAGTCATTGCATCTAATCCATCATGTGTGGGGGCCTAGGAACAATGGGTCATTTGCCACCTTTTCCATTCGTCTTCCCCTCTGATCCTTTTTCTAAAGCATAGGACATGCCATCACCCCACCACCACCCCATCACCATTCACGTAGCTGAAACCCCTAGTATGAAAATCTAGCTCTTTTTTTCCATTTGTGTAAACTCAATCTTCGGGCTTGACTTATGTAAGTTTAGGGTCAAGGAAAGAAAAAGTGTGTTAAAAGAAAAAGATGAGCGATCCATTTGCTGCTTAGGGGCCTATCTACACCAGCAGGTGCAACTTGAAGTTTGCAAGGGAATTGGTCCATGTCTTCCAAAATGGATTTTGGGGTGGAGAAGGAAGGAGAAGCCAGACACGTACACAGGATGGAGAAGAGTGCCACCCCCTTTTACCTCAGGCATCGAGGGGGGGGAGGGGACAGGGGTAAGTAAAGGCATGTTGCAGAAAGTCAGCGAAGCACCCACACCTGCTCATTATATCAAGTGTCTAGAGACTCCCTAAATAATTAAGATGCAGTTGGCTCCCTCCCAGGGCAGGTGTGGAAGAGTTTCCAGACCAGCAGCTCCTCTTGCAAAGCTGGAGCAGAAATGAGGATCTGATTACTTGAAAGGGGGTCCAGTTAGTAGCTATGGTGACCTCCTTTAGCCTGTAGGACTTGCCTGGAACCAAAGGCATAAGAAACTTCTAGGGAAACTCTTCAGTAATAGCCCAGTGAAGCCCACGTTTCCTTGTTTAAATCCAGATCCCACAACCATTTCCCATGTGACCTCAAAATGCTTAAGCTGTCCAAACAGCAGTTTCTGTATCTATAAAGCAACAATAGTGATTCTCTCAGATCATTGCAGTATCCTGCTATGCCATCTGATACCTAGTAGCCATGTCCAGAGAATGGCATTTCCTCATTTCTTATGAAGGAATGCTTGAACATCAAGAGCAATGTCTAAAGCTAAGGAAAATCTGTTCCTTAGAAGTACACATTGTAACATTAAGCCAGTGTACCATGTTCCAGACATGATGTTGAGGGTTTCATATCAGATCTCAAGAAACTCAGTTATGGATCGGTATTGCAAAAGTTCAGAAATGTTATACTTTCCCTAACTTAAGCAGCGAGTAAGTTTTAAAAAATATCCCATGTCTTTCTTTCGTAGGTGAGTGGACCTCAGGATGCGTTGTAGTGATTCCTAGCTGAGCAGAATGGAACGAGTGAGAAGTGGTTGGTAGACTGAGGAAAAGCAGACAAGCAGGCTTGCTCAGGTCCATGGGGCTAGACTGCCCTCTAGTGTTAGAGAGATCTCGGAGTCAGGTGGCTCCAGGGAGTGAGAGCAGCCTCACCCAGGCCTCCAACACACCAACACAGAAAGAGAGAGGAGAGGAGAGAGGGAGAGAGAGAGAGAGAGAGAGAGAGAGAGAGAGAGAGAGAGAGAGAGAGAGAATCTCCTGTGTCTGCCCTCCATAGTGCTGAGGATAAAGGCATATGCAGCTGACCCCATAGGAGCCCTTTCTAAAAATCCAAGGTCTCCAAGACAATCACCTTTCCCCAACAACATAACGAAGATCAGGTGGCTGAACAAACAGCAATTTGTTTCTAATAGTTTGGAAGTTGGGAAGTCCAAAGTCCAAGATTCCGTTCTTGGTGAGGGCTTGCTTCCTGGCTTGTAGAAGAGAGTCTTGTTTTTCTCCAGTTTTAGATGGTCCTTCTGTGTTGTAATAATCTTTGGGCCAGTTTGAAGGTATCTAAAGCCCATAAACTCAGTGATGACTATGGTGTTTGTGTGTGTGTACCTGCCTGCCTGTCTGTCTAGGAGTGTCAAAGATGTTTTACTTAGCTTTCAAATGTCCCTCCACTCCCCATAACACCTGGGCATCAATAAATGTCACATATGAAGAACTGAAAATTTGCAATTTAGTGATTTAAAGTGTATCTCCATACCTAAATGGGAAAAATCTCTACCCCTGTGGAAATCTATTGAATCAGTGATCTAGTCTCTCTCTATCCCCCTTTCTCTCCCTCTGTCTCTCTCTCCCTCAGTTTTTTGAGACAGGGCTTCCCTGGATAGCCTTGGCTGTCCTGGACTCACTTTGCAGACCAGGCTGGCCTTGAACTCACAGAGATCCATCTGCCTCTGCCTCCCATAGTGCTGGGATCACAGGCATGTGACACAGTTCAGCAATCTGTTTTAATAAGCTCTGCAAACTGTTTTGAAGATTCAAAAATTTGAGAAGCGCCAATTGACAGAGATCTCCAGAAAAATAGAATCAAACTCCTAATGAAATCTGCACTTCTTTAGTTATGTAAACAAATACAATTTATATACAACTTTTCTTTATACTAGTTTGAGTTGTGCTTCCTGTTGCTTGTACATGGAAACACTCCCAGGTACAGGACTTTGTTACAACAGAGCACAAGATCTTACTCCTACAAAAAACATCATCTGTCCTAGTTAGGGTTATTACTGCTTTGATGAAACACCATGACCAAAAGCAAGTTGGAGGTGGGAAAGAGTTTATTCGGCTTACACTTCCGCATCTTAGTCTTTCACTGAAGGAATTCAGGGCAGAAACTCAGACAGGGAAGGAACCTGGAGGCCGGAGCTGATGCAGAGCCTACGGAGGGGTGCTGTTTACTGGTTTGATCCTTGTGGCTTGCTTAGGCTGCTTTTATATAGATCCCCCAGCACCACCAGCCCAGGGATGGCACCACCCATGATGGCCTGGACCCTCCCCCTTTAATCACTAATTAAGAAAATGCTCTACAGGGTCCCTACAGCCCAGTCTCATGGAGGCATTTTCTTAACGGAGGCTCCCAACCCTCTTTTGACTCTACTTTGTGTCAAGTTGACATATCCAACACACAAACTTAGGGGCATTAGAGTAATAACGACACCTGATTCACACGAGCATCAATTGTAGCATAGGCACAGCAGTGTCCCGCTTTGAACCACACCAAGTCACAGGCTTGTGACAAGACCAGGGAGAGACAGGTTCATAAAGTAAGAGATGAAGGGTAGACATACCTCTTCCCATGCAGTCCTCACGGTCTGTCTAATAAACAATCTCCTAACGGTGGTGTGTTCCATATTGTTGCCATGGGTTGTAATAACAGAACATCTACCATCAAGGAGAGCTGCCACTTGAGCAGCTGCCACTTTTTTTCTTTTGCCCCTTGTGAAAACTGGGAGGTTCCAAGTTGGTTGTTTCTGTGGCACGTGTGTTTAGGGAGTCGATGGTAGGAGGCAGGACCTCAGGAGTAGCTTCAGAATAAGAGTTATCCTTTCCCATAGGACAACCCACTAAATACTAGTCTCTGTTAGATGTTTTTTTTTTTTTTTTCACTTTGGATGGAGAAAGGGAGGGTGCTGGTGATCCAGTCCCTGTGGAAATTGACATGGCTAAGGTTTCTGAATAGAGGAAATGGCCTTGTTGGCTGTCCCACCTGCTTTTTCCAGGCCATACCCCATCCCTGTCCCATTCTGTAAAAATGGAGGCTCCAGATGATACTAACACTACTGCTATGACATACTTTCTTGAAACCTGTAGCCCTTCTGCCCTAGTTCAGCAGTCACTGCTTTCCAGACTCGCTGGTTTCATCTTAGCCCTGCACCCCAACCTGCAGCCTGCAAGCACTCCCATCCGTCAGTCCCAGAATCTATCCTCCCCAAAGCCCACATCCTGGCCTGTGTTCTCAGTGAGCTCCCAAACGGCTCAGCTCTCTTGGCTGCTACCTCAGACTCCTGGGCATCTGTTGTGTGGTGGGAGCTGGTTGCAGTCTCTGTGTTGTCTTTTCAGCTGGACCTTGCTTATTGCCTTTTCAGGCAAGCTATGTCAGAACTCCCCCTTCATGCGGCAGGCAGGCTGGGTGACTTGCCAGACCATGTAAGGGTCTAGATGAGAGGTAGAGCCTAGAGCCAGCCTGGGAACATGATCCACATGACACCATAATTCTTGTACCCATAAAACTACTCTGCAGCTCAGAAGAAGCCTATCAGTGAGTGCTTGCTTCTTTTGGAAGCCCTCCAGAAACAAAATCTTTAAAGTGCAGACTGTAGAGTACTAAAGACTCTAAGGCCAGGAGCTAACGGGAAGGGAGGGAGGGGATTAGAAGTGTTTAGAGACACCTGATAGGTCAGCAGAGTGAATTTACTTAGAGCCACAGTGAACCAGAGCTGTAGGCTGGGGCCATGGCGGAGGCGAACGTGTTCATCTCCCACACAGCTGCAGGCATCGGATCATCATATACCCAACCTACAAGTTCTTCGTGCTGACTGTCCTGCTTTCTTTTCCTCTCAAGCCAGAGTCCCTCCCTGGAGGGTTCCATGGCACCCACTTCCATTGAAACTGCTCCTCCCCCACCCCCTGCCCTCTGCCCTGGCCAACTTCCACAGAACAGCATGTTGACAGCAGGACAGAAGGGTCACCAGGGAGGGAGAGGGAAGACGAGGGTAAGAACAAATAAGGGAGAAAACTTTAACTATGCACATGGGCTTTTGTAAGAACTTTATTTCTCAAAAAGGGGGAAAGAATCCAAAGTATTAAAATAATCCTCTAGTCTTTGTTCTGGAGGTCAAGAATAGGATGACAAAATAATTCATATAAAAAGGTCAAGCATAACTGTAGATCTTCCACTTGTAGGAACATCCTGAAATTCATCCCTCCAGCGTGATGCCCAGATTCCAGCTACATCAATGGTACCAAGTGTCCCCTGGCCAGGGACAGACTGAAGATGTCTGGGATGCAACTTCACAGACACAAAGGCCAGTCTTCCCAGTGGGTATAGGTTAGTCCACTTTAGTTACCGTTTCTCATGAAAATGTTAAAGGTTTTAACAAGTTGCCCCTCAAGAATTCGCAGTTTCCTTTTCTGAAGATGAGTGTGTATAAAAGAAATGAAATTACACGTGGAAGTGACAGGGCTGAGGATGGCAGGGCTGGTCTCAGTCAAACACCAAGAGATTTTACCTCGCTGAGGTGATACAAGTGCCCAGAACTTTCCCTTGTCATTGATGTGAGATGGCGTCCCTTAGTTTCTACCTCTGAGAAGGAATGGACTGGGAGAAGCCAAGCCTCCTTTTGCAACAAAGATTCTCATCCCAAGACTGGACTGGGGCTAGGGGGACAGCCTGGAGGTAGGGCCTTTTCCTAGCAAAGACAGACACACAAGAAGGCTGGAATGGAGTGTGGACAATAGCTAAGATGGAAGTGCTGAGCTGAGCCAGAAGCACAGGTGAACTGCTGGGAAGGCAGACCCTTCCAAGGAGCAGGGGACAAGAACAGGTTCTCTCTGGAGATTCCCGAGTAGCCTAACTGTGCCAGGCTGCACAGCACAGTCCTGACTGGTTTCTCTCAGCTGAAATTTCTCTGGGGAACAGGGAGGTTCTCATGGAGATACTTTAGGCTGCCGTGCTCTGAGAAGTCTGAGACCACGTGGTCTTGCCCTCGGAGCAGCCACTTCGTAGTCAGCAGTCCCTCAAGGCCTACCGGTCCCCGGGCGTGGATTCGTGATGTACTGATTCCTACTTCAGCTCCTATTAAAAAGCAGAAACAAAAGCAAAAAAAACGATCATGGGGAAAGCTGTGGCTTTCCCCAGCCACTGCTGCCTGTTCACCCATGAGCCTACAATGGGTATCTTCTCTGCTAACTTCTGCCCCCATCCTCTGGGGCTCCCTGGTGTTCCTCACCCACGTGGGTGTGTCCTCTGCTCCTTCCCCTTCTGCGGCACAGTGCAGCATGTGACTTCTTTTACTGCCCTTCATCCAAGGGTATTCTGAGTGTTTAGGGGGGCCTCTTCACCGTTCTAGGCCTCTCAATCCTGTACCCCGTCTCGACATCTGGGCATGCCCTGACGCTTACAATAACGTCCAGTATGGAGTTCATCACCCGAAACCGCTCCCTCCCCTGAGATGTGATCTTCCTGGATAGCCCAGGGCGGCCTTGAACTTTTGATCTTCCTGCCTCAGCCTCCTGAGTGGTAGGACATCAGGTATGTCCTACCTGGCCCATTATGCCAAAATGGTTTTTATTTATTTACTTTTTTAAAATTCATTTATTTATTTTTTTTTTGTATGTGTAAACTTACACATGTATATGTGTACCACCTGCACGACAGTGCCGATGGAGGCCAGAGAAGGTCAGATCCCCCGGAACTGGAGTTAGGGGGGCCTCTGGCTCCACATATACGCATATACACGCCTGTGTATCTGCATATACACACACACACACCTGCACAATGATACATGCATATGCATGCACACACACACACACACACACACACACACCCCTCCAATATTCACAGAATGTGCCACAAATATCTTACTGGATGCTTGTGTAATGGTCCCCTGGAACAGCAGACTGTTCAAACAACTCTCTGGAGAGCTGGAAGTTCTATCAGTCATGAAAGGACTATTCTAATGCTCACATTTGTCTAATGCTCACACAGATGGCAAACCAGATGCCATGGTTGGGGATGGTGAATCAGGTCTCTAATTTGTCTGTGCAGATGCCAGGGGTGAAGCCAGAGCCCTGCGCATTCTAAGCACGTGCTTCAGACGGAATCCCCGCACACTTCCTCCATGGGCCCCGTTGGTGGTGTTCAGGCTCTGTGCAGGTACCTACACCTCCCGTTCTACGTTGTGGCTCCTATCTCTGTGTCGCTCGAAAGCTGTGCGTCTGCCGTGGCAGGCTCAAGGGGACCACAGCAGCTTGTGAACCAAGCTGTGCCTGCCTGCACTGCGGTGGGGGTGCCCGGCCTTGTGCATGTTAGGTCTGACATTGGCTGTGTGACTCTGGGCAAGTGACTTGACTTGTCTCTTGGTTTCCCCATCTATGGAAAAGGAATTAAGAGCAGCTGCTTCTTCACAGGTGGAAGTCCCACCAATGCAGGTAGCGAACAGGGTTATCCTTGATTCTCTGTCTGTTCTGTATCTGGGTCACACACCTGACTGGAGGGAGGTGTCTTTACTTTGCTGTGGTGTTTAGAGTCTGTGGTGGGGAGAGCCACAGGGGACATCTTTTCCTTGTCTTTCTTACCCAGTCCAAAGCGGTAGCCATCAGAGAAGCGAGTACTGGCATTCCAGAACACACAGGCGCTGTCCACGTGCTGGAGGAAGAACTCGGCTGTTTTCTCTGGTTGGGGGTGGGGGGGAGAGAAAGCAAATGAGGATGACGAATGGCAAACAATCCCATTTTTGGTCACTCCCCAGTGACAGATCTGGCCTCGCATGTCTCCTCACACGTCAAACACACAGGCTTAGGACAGCTCTGAAGAGGAAGATGGCGAACCAGATGCCATGGCTGGGGATGGCGAATCAGGTTTCTAAGCAGTTGTGCTTCCATGCTGGGACACCCTGTTTAGGCCTGACCACTAAGTCCATACCCATCAGCTCTGTGCCCTTGAGCAGGCCAGTGACCATCCACGTGCCTGGGTGAGAAGGGAGGACATTACCTGGTTTTCAGGTTGTAGAGGATGAAGCCAGTTGGCCCCTGGGAACCCTCACCCCAATGCCTCATGGTAAGTGGTCAGTTAATGATTGCCGCTCCTTGGTGCTATGATTAGAGCGCCAGTAAATCGGCTGTGAGTTCCTCAGGGGCGATGAGGCTTCCTTTACTACCAGGCCTCAGAGCCAGATGCCCTGGCATGACCTCTGATACGCTTATGGGTGTTAAATAAATCAGTGTGCAGTTGTCCTGCTCTTAACCTCCAGGTGCTGGTTTCTTCAGCTGTACATTTTTAAAAATTTTCCTTTTCTTGGACCCTCGGTCTTGCTGGTCAGGCTTGCAACTTGGGTCAATCCTCCAGCCTTAGTTTCCTGAGTTCTGAGATTATAGATGTTTAGTCATGTCTGGCTCTGAACTACTTGGTAGGGCAGCTGCATGGGTAAAAAGGTAATGCCTCTCAAGCAGGGGAAGCCATCTTTAGAGTACTGCCAGTCATCCCTGCACTAGGCCGATGGAGGCCCCTGGGATGGACCCACAGTTAGATCAGAGAGGGTTTAAGCCATGAGCTTTTCTCCAGTGCTACAACTGTCACTGGTCAGTCTGGCGTGTGCTTTCCTGCAGGGCCAGAGGGACTGAGAGCGACAGCATCAACTGAGGGTCAGAGCAGAGAGACCTGACACCGCATGCCTGAAGCAGTGCAAACTGACCGTTCTCCGTGACGATGACATCTGTGTGGGAGCTGCCGTACTTATGGATGTGATCAATGGCTTCCTGGGTGCTGTCCACCACTTCGATGCACACTTCCAGGTCCCCATACTCTGTTCGGAGTGACTTCACTTCTGAGGGGCTGAACGTCAGGTAGGAGGCAAACTTGGGGCCTGCGTGAATTTTTACCTGTCAGAAAGGAAATCCGATACAAAACCAAGAGTAGTACAGCAGCAGCAGGAGCCAGTAGCTGGGCAACTTGCCGGGTTGAAGAGGAGCCTGGGTAACGCACCAAGGCCCTGGCGAGCCGCAGCCAGATAGCTAATAGGCCTGCAGGGTGATCTTGCCCTCCTCACCAGCATGCTCTGCTCTGGTGCCAGGCCAGGGCTTACTGGCCACTGTTCCAGCAGCAGGCCCTTAAGCAAGCTGGAGCAGGAGTCAAATGAATGCTGAATGCATGAGGCACATGAGTCCCTGACTGCTGCCTTTTTACTGAAGGAACATTTAATCATAAACTCCCATTCTCCATGAAGTGGAACCTGTGCTGGATTCATGAGAAGAAGGCGGCAACATATATGTATCTTCCCTTCCTACACCCCAGGGGAGGCCTGGCTTGGCGCTCAAGGCTGAGTACCTGTACAATTCTGGCCTGTCACACCAGTTCCAGGCTCTCAAAATGACCCTGTTCCTACTTAGAGGAATGTAAGGTTTCTGGGCTGGCCACGGAGGGACTTAACCACAGTCTGATCCCGCACAGGCTTGCTCTCTCAGACTGCACAGGACTAGGTTCATGCCTTGATTCATTCAGGTCGTGGCTCCAGCTATGACAAGCTGTATCTGTCCTGCCTGGTGGCTTGAGGCCCTGACTGTGACTTTACTGGGCACTCCACTTTCTCCAGGACTGGGAGACCCAGTCTGTCTGTCCTCAGGTCACCCTGAGGATTTAGTTCCTGCACACAAAGGTGCTGCATGCAGCATGCACATGGCCTCATCTTGGTTTGAAGCCCATCAATGCAATCCTCATTCCGACACTGAGGATGCCAAGGGTTTGCCCACATTAAGGTGAGGGCGCTCGGTTCTAGCCGAGGACACCTTTCCTCCCGTGCAGGAAGGTGACTGTGATATTTGGCATCTACAGGAAGCCAGCAATCAGGTGGGCCACTAGCATACAGACTTGAATGCAGTGAGCAGTGATGTGGGTTCTGATTCCCCTTTACTCTGTGCGGTACACTTTTGATTTCAAAGGATTTAAGGTGCTGGGTATAGTTCTGACCGACGGGGGATTACTGAAGTACACCTTTGCATGTGCTTGTGACGGGGTTTCCAGAGAAACTTAGATCTCATTAGACCTCTGGCCTAATGAGTGGATTAACCCTTTGATGGCTCTGTAGTAGGATGGATAATTGGGAGGGGGTAAATGGTAGAAGATAAGCCTCCTTGAGGGAGGATACCACTAGAGACACATTCCCTCTTTCTCTGATTCCTGGCTTCCTTGAGGTAAGCTACTCCCTCACCATGATGGAACAAACACTCTGAAACTGTGAGCCAAGTTAAGGGGTTACAGGCCTCGTTAGGCTACAGTGTAACTAAAGGAAGCATCTGCTTTGTCAGTTCTCAGGTTTTCTAGCTGCAGCCTTGAGGAAATGCTGGGTCCCACTAGGGAGTCGCATTTCCCCAGACTTCTGCATTTCACACGAGACTGACATACAGTGCTGTGCTCAGACACAGATTCTAGGCATTTGCTTTTCTTCTGTGGCTATGTATGGTCCTCCATGTAGTTTTGTTTCTTTTATTAGTCTTTTAAGTTGTTTTTCTTGGGTGTTTGGTTTGGCTATAGTGACACAGAAACCTAACACTGGGGCCATACTGTATGGATAAGCATCCTTCCCTTGATACACAAAAGGATGCCACGTCAGGGTCACAGCAACCAAGGAGAGCAGGCTGCTTCCATAGGCTGCATTAGCTTACATAAGAGCTCGCTCACACTTGCTATGAAAACAGGAAATGAGGCCATGAAGGACCTTTAATAGACTGTCCATTTGACCATGGGACCTTCTAGTAGTTTTTAATTGTGAAGTTAGGACAGCATAAATCTGTCTGTATTTCAAACTTACTGAATTTGCTTGTATTCAACCTCAAAGACAGGTTATGATCAAAACCCCAAAGCTATTCAAACTGCTCATCCTGAATGCCACTCAGTACGGGTGTTTATATCGGCAGCTGAAGACATTTTGGAGGGAAGGCATGAAGGCATATACGTTTTACTTCTGAAGTCACTTCTGAGGCTACAGGACTGGCTCATCAGCTAAGTGCACCGGTTGTTCTTCCAGAGCACCCCAGTTCAATTCCCAGCATCCACATGGCAGAGCCTCGAGTTCCGGAGGAGCTAATGCCCTTTTCTGGCCTTCTAGGGCACATTTGGTGTACAGACACAGGTATCACACTCGCACATAAAATAAAATAGTAAAAACATTGTGCCCCCCCTAGTTGGAAATACAACTTCGCCACCCAAATAAAACATTGCTGTAAGGATCCCAGTCTGTATGGTGCTACGTGGTCTGCTACCCTCGGACCTTTGCAGCAGGGAACTAACGCTGCACTCTGGAATGTGTGCAGCCATCTGTGTGTCAGTTCCAACCACACAGCAGTCTGCAGGAGGAGGGGTGACGTCTTATTCACCCCTGAATTCAGCACAGCACTGCACGCACAGCCCAAGTGTAACACACTGTTTTAAGCCGCCTGGACTGTTCTTGCTCGAATGTCTCCCGCGGGCCTAGCGTACCTGTTCCACCCTCAGCATATCAATGATCTGGTCAAATAAGGGTGATCTCAGCAGGTCCCGGTGGATGAGCAAAGTCTCCAAGGCATTGCAGGCAGCTGGATATTCACACTTGGAGTCTCTGACTGAAGGAAAGGAAGAGCGAAGAGTGAGTCCTGTGTACACGATCCACAGGCGCCAGGGATTCACCAAGATTTCCCCCTCACGTCCCAGGAGCCCTGGGACAGCTCACCGAGTCGGGTGACCTTGTCCACACTGGCCTCGCAATCCACATACATGTGGCAGATGCCTTCGCTGTGGCCCATCACCGGGATCCCCTTGGCAGCTTTCTGGATGTCTCTGACCAGCTGGGAGGAGCCTCGAGGAATGATCAGATCTATTATTTTGTCAAGGCGGCAGAGATCCTCAACTTCTTCTCTGGTATTCACCTGAAGAGGGAGGGAGCCAAAGAGGAAGATGGCACTTTCTGGCTATACAAAACACAGGAAGAGCAGCTTCCCCTTTGCAGAGCAGCAGCTGCACTCTGGTAACTAACTTCAGCCACTTGGGGGCATGCTGGGTCTCATTAGGAGGTCACATTTCCCTGAGACTTCCACTGACAACCTCCATCCTGGGATGCAGACTAGACAATCACAAGTGCTGTGTTGAGACATAGAGGTGCCAGGCATTTTCTTGTCTTTTCTAGATTTGTTAGTGTCTTCCATCTAGTCACACTACGACAGAAATACAACATGCATGTGGTAGAATGCTCATAGCTACTTTATTTCATGAAGCCAATGCCCAGGGCCAGCCCAAATATCCATCTATGGTATGTGGCTATAAATGAACTACTACATGGTCATGAAAAGGGAGAAAGAACTCTTAGATTCAAAACCACAGATGAATAACACAAAGATAATAAAATAATAAACAAAGGTCATAAAATAGAAAAGTGCATTCTGGATAACTCTATCAAAGTTCAGGAACAGAGCTGAATATGGTGAATGTCAAAGACAGTGGGAAGGGCAGGAAGGGCCCTGTGGTATGCTGCGGACATGTGGTTAGTGGCTGTGCATATTCACACAGACCCGTCTACATGCAATCTGCATGTACTACCGTGAGTTAGTATGCACTGGTAGAGCGAGGAGGAGAGGGAGGCAAGCAGGAAGGGAACCCATCCAGCCAGGCTGTGCTAGAGCTGGGCTGAGTTCTGAAGCCTGGAATCCTCCCACCAGATTCTCTCTGAGCAAGCAATGAGGCAGCTCCTCCCCACAGGGAGAAGGGAATCCTGAGATGTTGGGGCGGAGGAACCTTCCATGAAAAAAAAAAAGCTCTAGAAGTGGCTTAAATCAAATCAAAACCCTACCATAGACTGCTGAGTTTTTGTACCCCCAACTCTGGTTTTACCCAGTCCAGAACATGGGCCTAGGAATGAACAGCATTTCCTCACAAGGTTATAGTGAGAATTAAAGGACCTAATTAATGAAAGTGTCTCACATGACTCGAACCTGTTCCCACTGAACTCAACTGGCAGCTCCGGCCAGGTGAGTGACCGTGGTGACAGTGGCAGCAGCATGTTCTGGTTCTTCCACACCACAGGAGGGCTGGTGAGAAACTTTCCTAAAATGGCTTAAGCCAAATCTAAACTCTACCAAAGACTGGCGGGTCCTTTACTCCCGAGTCAGATGACCCTAAAAAACCCCACCAATAGGAGGGACCCAGCCCTACAGTGGGTCTGTCACTCTGGTAACTTAATGAATGAGCATCTGGGGGCCAGTGGTATGGCTTAGCAGGTAAAGGTGCTTGCCACACAAGCCTGGAGACCCGAGTTCAGTTCCTGGAACCCAGGTAAAGGTGGGGGGAGGGAAGTGACTCCACAGAGTTGGTCTCTGACCTAAACGCACACTCACACCTGCACCCCCGTACACACAAGACAACAGTAATAAAGAAAACTAAGCTTCTAAAAAGAGTGAAGGTCTAATTGATACCGAGTTGCTCAGGAGTGCCAGGATACATCGGCATGGCAGTGGCTCTCCCAAGCCAGTGACAACCCACCTGGCTTGTAGAATGGCCTAGGGTTCACAAAACTTGCTGCCTCTCTAATCAAGCTCACCTGTAGAAGCATCTTGGCTTCTCTACAACCTAACATTTGCTACAAATCTCCATAGCCCTCACCTGGCCCTCTGTGAGTCATTTCCAGGGACCTACCAGCTGTATGGCCTCCTTGACTCCATGGATGGACAGGGCCTCCTGGGTCAGGAGGTGGAGAATGCGGTTGCTGTGTGTGGCCTCCTTCCCTCCTTTGAGCAACAAGCCATTGCCACTTGCAATAGCCAAGGCTGCCACCTGCAGACCAAAGGAAACATGGTCAGAGTGACAATGATGTTTGCATTGCTGTGGGCTTTATTATGGGGCCTGTCTAACCTTTACCAGCTCCACTGAAGCCCAGAAAGGGTGGGGACCCCCGGGATACTCAACCGTGTCCACTGAGTCAGCAGAGGCTGGGGGGCACCTGTGGCCGCAGCTGACCGTGGTCCTGGAACTGACGGGGGACTCTAAATGCCCGATGCTGAGAATCTGGACAACACAAGCTCATGCTAGGCCTGAATGGTGACAAGCAGCCTGCTGGGGAGCACACACTGCTCAGGGCAGGGGAGGATGAGATATCCCATTACAGCAGCCAAGAGACACAGGCGTGGTCTGCCTAAGCCTGAGGCCTGCTTTTCTGAACACCTTTCAGATAAATGAAAATCACCCTAGTTGTAGGGAAAAGGCTACTAAAACTCTTTGCACAGCCATTTTTAACCTCCAAATTAGGTTGTTTTGTTTTTTGAGACAGGGTTTCTCTGTGTAGGCTTGGCTGTCTTGGACTCATTTTGTAGACTAGGCTGTCCTGGATCTCACAGAGATCTGCCTCCCTCTGCCTCTCTGAGTGTTGGAATCACAGGTGTGCACCACCACAACCAGCTTAGATTAGGGGTTCTTAATGCTTTCTATTCACCTGAGTTGCCCTTGAGCCCCTTAGGAAGGGTGTGTAAACATTCTCCAGCTAAATGCAGATACCATGTTCCACGCACAGTTTTTTGTATGTCGTCACCCAGGGCTATGCTTCAGGTGAGCAGCCTCAGCCACAAGGAAAAGCCTATTTATTCCTTGTGAGGAATCTGGTGGCTGAGAGGTGGCCAGGACATTTCAAGAACAGAGTCACAGGGAATTAGGACCATTCCTGCTAGCACACATGAGGTTTGCAGCCACCAACGGGCTCTTCTACAAGACAAGCTTGTGGACAGAGGGGTGATGAGGACAGACAACCCTGGGAAGGGAGTCCTGTGAGGAACAAGCTGGTGTGAGGCCCAGTCAGGGAGTACCCGCCACAGAGCACTGCAGGCTCCACAGTCCCCTATGCCTTACACACAGAGAGACTAGCTTTTCATTTTAAAAACAGAATTTTCCTTTGAGACCTCAGAGCCAGTACAAAGAAAGAGTTCACCTTAACCCACTCATAGCTGAGTGGGGAAAATGTTTATTGATTTCTCAGATAGTTTAGGGCAACAAAGCAAGGCCGACTCTCTACTGGCCCCTCATGTTTCTCAGCATGGCTGCTCTGTCATGGACTAACCCCATTCCTTAAAGAGGCCTGCATTCAGTCTTCCATTAACAACCCAGAGCGCCTTTTCTATTAGATGTGCCTACAGGAAGCACTCTGTGGCACTGACAATGGAGTCTTTTTGTGTGTGGGTGGACAGGTGTTAGGTGAAGGATCGCTAGCAAGCCAGCAGGGATGTGCGGTCTCAGAACTGGGAATCTGTTCTCCCCCTCCCTGCAGGGGTGATCTGGGCCCCAGCGGCAGCCCGACACTTAAAAGCGTGACAAGGAATATTAAACTTTCTAGTGGGTCAGCTGCATCTCTGCTCTGGGATGTCTGGAAGGATGTAGAGCATAACCCACCTTAATAATAAACTGATAACCCCGTGGAAATATCTTTGCATCTTTGAAGAAAAAGATCTTTCTTTTACACATGTATATACATGCATACATACATCTATCTTTGGTGACTTATCTCTAGCCCTGGTGATGGTCACACCTACCTGGGGTAGACAGTCCGGACGAGACTCAAAGATCACCAGTAAAACACCTATTGGGACAGTTACTTGCTCTAGTTCCAGGTTTTTGGCAACCCGAGTCCGGCGCAGGACACGGCCCACGCTGTCCTGGGAAGAGGCTGCAATCTGTCGAAGCCCGATGGCCAAGCTGTTCAGTTTTGATGTGGAGAGGCTGAGGCGCTTCAGCAGAGGGACTGCGAGTCTTCCTGCAAAGGCAATGGGATGAAACGGTCAAGTGGCGGCTGCGAGGGGGCTTTGGCCACCAGCTTTACTATGGTAGGAATAGACATGGAGCTGAGAGCCTTGGGGATGCAGTGCCCTGCATCCTTACATAGTCCTTCCTGGGGGCGGGGAGGGCTGGCTTGACACCTGCACCTCATGTCCCCAAATCATCACGTTTAGCACGTGACATTCCAAAACATTCCAGCATTTCAAAACATGGAGGCCTGGTTTCTACCTAACAGTTTTGACAAGAGGCTGAGATGTAGTTGTTACACATAATGTACCACAGCTACTGACAAGCCGGGCTATCTGGAATATGGCGTGTGAAAAAAAAGCCAACCGTGAAACATCAGGCCTACCCATCAAACATGGCCGATGCATGTGTGCACAGGTTGATGTCTCAGTGGCATCAAAAACAATCATGATTTGTCTACTTTATCTTTCTGTTGCTGTTGTTATTATTTGAGACAGGGCCTTACTATGTGGCCACCACACCCAGCTAGCCCCCACTGTCTTAAAATGACAAACCAGAGAATGAAGAGGAAAGAAGGAAGGCACCTGGGCCTTGCTGACTGTAACTGGTCATCTACTGAGAAAGCCCTTAGCACAGTGCCTGCTAATATGATGGTCTCAGCCTTCATTAGCTGAGCGTCTACAGCAGTGAAGTTCTCAGTATCCTTTTCTGGTAAAAATCTAAAATTGCCACAGAAGCCAGACCTCACATGAGCCTTGGGAACAAGAAAAGCTCCTTGGAGGGTTGGTTTAAAATATCTGGAAATGGAGCAGGACTAAATACTAAGAATAGTTAGAAAAAGAAAAACTTAGGTAGTATCCGCCACCCACCTTTGATGAAAATTACATATAATAAATAATATAATTTCTTCAAACAATCTTGTCTTTAGATAGAGGTAAGAATTATCAGTAGCTGGGAGGTGGTAGTGCACACCTTTAATCCAAGCCCTTGGGAGGCAGAGGCAGGTGAATATATCTGAATCCAGAGCCAACGTAGTCTACAGAGTGAGTTCCAGGACAGCCAGGGCTACACAAAGAAACCCTGTCTCTATAAAACAAAAACCAAAACAAAAAAAAAAAGAAGAAAAAGAAGAGAAGGAGGAGGAAGAGGAGAGAAGGAAGAGAAAGAGGAGAGAAGAAGAGGAGCAGAAAGAACCACACAAGGATAAAGAAGAACAACACAAAGAGAAATGCAGGAACACTCCTTACCTTCTGCCTCCTCCAAGTCTTTTTTGTTGGCTAACAGGATCTCTTCCCGCTGGTCTGTCAGCAGGTCTGCCAGATGATGGATGATTTCAGATCTCTACAAGAAAAGCAAAAGCAAGCCATGGACACACCAGGGGTATACAAGAATGCACATGCTTCTTCCTCTACCATCACAGTGCCAGGCTTGTCCCTGGAGCCGAAGCTGCCACAGACTGAAATCCCCTTTTCCCACACATTCCTGGCGGTGCCCACCTCCTAATATGTTCCCACCTGCCCTCATTTCTTCTTTTCCTTCTCCTTTTTCACTCCTGATTAATGTCATTAGGAATCTATGGCTCAGCACTGGGGATGTGATGAGTTATGTAATTTGACCATGAGATAAACTGGCATGTAAAATTAGGAATGACACAGACAACTTTACAGATTTTCTATCAATAGACTGTTATTTCTCAGGTAAGTTTTTGTTGTTGCTGTTGCATTGTTTTTTGAGACAGGGTTTCTCTGTGTAGCCCCTCTTACTCGCTCTGTAGTCCAGGTTGGCCTTGAACTCACCGAGATCTGCCTGCCTCTGCATCTTGAGCACTGGGATCAAAGCATGCACCACTAATGCCGGGCCGTTCCGGGCAAGTTTTAAACCTGGCTTTTCTTTCTTGGCATTTTTTTTGAGATTTATTTTTTTTATTTTGTTTTATGGGTATGAGAGTTCTGGCTGCATGTGTGTCCATGCTCCTCAAGCACACAGTGTCTGTGGAGTCCAGAAGAGGGCGGGTACTAGACCACCTTGGAACTGGAGTGACAGATGACTGTAAGCTGCTGTGTGAGCGCTGGGAGTCCAACTCAGGACCTCTGGAAGAGCAATCGGCGCTCTTAACACCGAGCTATTGCTGAAGCACTTCGGCTTTTCTTTTTGGTTAATTACTTGGTAAAGTCACTTGGTAAAGGAGAAAATCCCAGTCCTTCATGCCCAAGGAGACTTATCCTTAGCCATCTTTCTGGGAAATGGGATAGCGGGTGTGAAGATAACTGAAGCAAAGCAGAGTGGTCTGAGAGAAGCCAGGCTCCTCCTTGGTTTTAACTTTCTTCCCCTGTAGCTAGCTTTTCTCTTCTCCCTTCTCAGACCAAAGTGCCCCACAGAAGAAGCCTGTAACCCTCCAGCCACAGCGGCACACCCTTGGGAAGTCTGCCCTGGATTTCACCTGTCCTCCTCATCTCCAGCTTTACTGCACTGCCCCTGAGACTAACTCACTATAGACAAGGAGGGGTTAATCACAGAGCAGGCTCCGAAGCTCTCTCTGGCAGGTTTTGCAGGTGCTTCAGTGGGCAGGAAGGGGTAACTTTCCTATGTGTCCATGTCTGCCATGTGTCAGATCTACAGCTTCCCTTAGCTTGTCTTTGATCAAAACACAGAAATGTGTTTTGTGACAAATGTGACAGAAAGATTTTCTTCAGACTAAGGGGAGCATACAATCATTTCAGATGATTCTTCTAACACTAGGAATAAATGGGGCCAGCAGACTTGACCGTTAAACCAGAACGCACCAAGCTGTGAGTGAGTGTCCTCACCTGCTCAGGCTCTAATGTGGCCAGCATCCTCCCTCCAGATCGAGCCATCTCCCCCTGCTGCTCCACTGTAGGGCCTGCAAGAGCACATGCAAGCATCAGACCGTGGTGAGCTTCACACTGACTGAATGCGGAAGAACGCCTGGTGTCGTAGTGTGCTTGTTTGGCACACAGAGATCACCAAGGCCAACAGAATGGCAATACCCCTCCCCCATAAACATACCATACATAAACAAACATACCATACATAAACCATAAACAAACCAACACATGCCAGTGTAACTCAGGGATGAACACAGTCCTGCGTCTTATGTTGACAAGTCTCTGTGCCTTCCGGAGCTCAGCTGTGCTTTGTGGAGCACACTGCTTATGTGCTGGCATTTGTGAGCACAGATAACAAGGCACATCTTTGTGTGTGCTTCAGAACTCAGACCCTGTCTTATGCACCTCTCTGCATATCTAGCACCTGTTAGTTCTTAGTGCAGGCCTCGCAAGTGTTTCCTGGTTTGGGAGACTAGGAGGACTAAGAGATTCTTACAAAATCCAGTTCTGCAAACAGTGTTTAAAATGCCAGTGTTTATGATGTGGCCTCACTGATTTCATAACCTGGATTTGCAGGGTGAGAGCTCAGGCTTCAGTCCCATCGAGGCTGGGGCAGCGCTGGCTGTTATCCACAGGCTATGGGACCTGAGGGAGAACTACTCACCAGCAGGCTTTACTTCTGAAAAGAAGGTGCCGACTTTCTTTCCCTCCACGATGTCTGTGATGACGTGCCCGGACACCTTTGGGTGGGTTCCGTTGGCAATGACGACAGAAGTTCCACCTTGCAAAGCCCAGAGCGCAGCTTTCACCTAAGGGGTCGGGTTAGATCCAAGAAGAGATTCAGACCTAGAAACATACACTTTAAACTTGCATGATGACATAAGACACAGTTCCATATTTAGCAAGCTAAATAAATAGAGGGGCGTGTGTAACAGCTCAGGATCTGGGAACACACATGCAAGCCCACCATCACTTTCTGGACCAGCTCAGCATGTACTGCCTGAAGGGGAAGCAATGAGTCCTGTTTTCTCTGAGACCCTCTAGTACCAAACTCAAAACTTGCACATTTTGATTTGTCATGCCTAAATGGCTACAACTGGATGGCTAGAGGAATAACTGGAACAGGATTTTTGTGAACAAGGCTCTGTTCTTCTTTTCTAACATTGCTATAGGTGATATTCTGCATTAAGGGTATAGAGCCTATAAGAACAAACAATGGGAAAGAAAGGAGTTTTGAAAAACTTTCAGAAATATCTGAGTTGATAACAGAAGATTTATTAAGTGTGAAAATTATATGGACCCTGCCCTCTATGGTTACAACACTGTGAGAGCTAATTTTCATTATCTGCTTGACTGGATTTGTATTCATTATGGAAATGCACTTCTGAGTCTCCAGAAAGTTTTAACTGGAAAAGGAGAACCCTAGATGTGAGCTGGGGCCGCAGGCTAAGTCAGGAGGAGGGAGTGAGCCGGGCACCAGTACGTCTTTGTTTCCTGACTGTGGATGCAATGGGCCTAGCTGCCATGTCAGCAGCTGCCACGGCTTCCCTGCCTTGCAGGACCATGCCCTCAATCTGTGAGCCAGAATAGCTTTTGTCCACTATTATGTCAGAGCAACAAAAAAAAGCAGTGAACACATGCACAAAATGTACTGCTCATGTTAATAAAATAAAATACATCTAAAGACATGACTAAACATAGGTATACGACAGCCACAAAACATTTAAATATGTGCACATTTAAGTGTATGTGTCATATTGGAACCATAGGCGTCCAGACAAGCTTAGCAGTAAAAATGTTAAAATGCCACGTGGGCTTGATGACTGGAGAGTTCAGAATCAGCTTACCTTGGCTTCCATGCCCCCCAGTCCCACTCTTGACTTGGTTCCAAATGTCACAGACTGCTGATCTCCCGGATAGAATATGTCAATGAGCTTTGCATCATCTGAGCCCGGGGGACTGTCAAAGAGGCCTAAAAAGTGGATCAGAGTCGGTGACACTGCACAAAGGCCTCCCTAGGCACTTGCTACTATACTAAAAATACAAACAAACAAAACAACAACAAAAGCAATGATTGTACTGTACCAGCTCCTGTCTCAGCGGGAAAGAGGATAAGGGGTCAGTGTGCTCTTTAGACAGCCTTAAGCAAATGTATCTGGGCCTCCGGGCACGGTCACATCCTTGGCACAGTGCCCACAGCACTGGCAAGAGCCCTCCCCTCTGCCATCCCAGCTCACCATGCTGCACCTGAGCAGCAGAACCGAAGGAGAGATGAGCGCAGAAACAGTACAGTTGCCACACTCTGCAGCGGACATTTCCATTTCTGTAAAAACCCAGCTCTGTCTTTGTTTCAATCCCAAGTGTGGGACATGGGGCTGCTGATAGTTTGTCCACAGCTGATAACTGCCTTGTGTGGCTCAGAGAGGGGCATCGTGGTCTTTGCCAGCTGCAGTTAGTGGAATTTTGGGGACTCTGAGGGGGAATAAATATCAGAGCCCAGAGAAAGGATGCTCCAAGAGAGGAGATGCTTGAAGATGGTGGGAGAAGGAAGAAGGCTGCTGGTTCTTCCTGATGCTGTATTTGCTGTTTGCTGGCTAGCTGGACTGCTGGATACTGACCCAAGGAACTAAATATAACCTTTCTCTTCTACCTAATGTTAGGGGGTAGAGGGATAGGAAACTAAAAGAAATTAGAGTTAAAACGTAGTACCAGTATTATACCATTTGGGCAGGTCGAGATGTTAGGCAAGTACTCATTCATTCTCACCATACACCCTTCCAATCAAGCAGACCGACACCTCCTGGTTTACGAGCAAGTGTCTTAAAGGTTGGACTGAGTCAGCAGAAGAGCTATGACTCTCAGCACTTGGGCTGGCTTTATCACCATGAAACAAATAGCCTGTATGCAACTGAACAGGGTAATACCACACTGAAATGAAATGCTATATGTATACAACACAAGGTTAAAAAAATCCCCACAGGGGCTGGAGAAATGGCTGAGTGGTTAAGAGCACTGTCTGCTCTTCCAGAGGTTCTGAGTTCAATTCCCAGCAACCACATGGTGGCTCCCAACCATCTATACTGGGATCTGATGCCCTCTTCTGGCATGCAGCTGTACATGCAGATAGAGCACTCATATATGTAAAGTAAATAAATATATCTTTAAAACAGTTCTCACAGTTTCACTTTGAAAGAGCAGAGACCCTGGAAGGGGAAAGGAGAAGGGTAAGAGGGGCCTGGAAACATGGTGTCAAATCACGACCAAAGGGGAGACACATTAAAAACACTGCCCGTGGCTGACAACTGCTACAGCACATTTTGGGTGGTAGTGTTTTTTGGTTTTGTGTGTTTACATGTACATGTATGTGCAGGCTCACACGAGTGTCTAGGTATATACACAATCATGTACGTGCAGAAGGCAGAGTACAACCTCAGGTGTCATTTCTCAGTTACCATCTCCTATTTTTTTTTTTTTTACTTTTAAAAGACAAAGAGTTTCACTAGCCCGGAACTTACCAATTGGGCTAGACCGATCAGCACCAAGCTGTTTCTGCCTCCTTAGCTCTCAGATTACAAACCTACACTTGGCTTTTCCTTCCTTTCTTTTTCTTTCTTTCCTTCCTTTTTAATGTCTGGTGGGTGCTCGTGCTTGCTAGACCAGTGCTTTGCCCACTGAGCCACTTCCTCAGCCATTTTTGGCTTTAAATCGCTGCTTTCCCTATACAGGATGCCCACATCACTCCAAATCTTTAGGACAATCCTGTTCTGTGTAAAACCCCTCTGGGGATTGAGGGAATCAGTGTGCAATGCTAACACATGAGCAGCAGTAAGTGGCCAGCCTGCAAGGCTCAGCCAGTGCCCACAGCTCCAGGATTCCAGGCTGGGTTCTTCCCAGAAGGTGACAGGTGTGATGTGGATTGAGGAGCTGTTCAGTTTCAGGTAACTGTGTGGGAAAGACTGTCACATCAGGAGACATTTTCCAGAGGCCTTCACACTCTGTAATTCTGCCTATTACTCTTCCTCCAGTCTTCTAATCCCACCATCAGGATCTTTAACATAGGATACTGCTCTAAGATGGCAAAGGTGCTTAACATTGAGCCTGAGTTTGATCCCCAGGATTCAAGTGATGGAACAGAAAATCAACTCTCACAAATTGTCCTCTGAGCTCAGCATACGTTTCCTTTTTAAAGGAAATGATTGAAGACTTCTCATTAAGACAGTTACAACACAGTAACAAACAGGTATTGTCAAGGGTCAGACATTTTAGCTCCTTCATACTCCGTGGGTGGCAACATCAAATAGCCCAACAGCTTCAGAAAACACTACGGTGGTTGTGAATACCAAGTTACCACATGAATCTCCTCCCACTCTTCCTTACCTCTCATTTTTAATTGTAGAGTTGGGGATTGGATCTAGGGCCTTGCTCTTGCTAGGTGAGCATTCTGTCATGAAGCCCAACAATTATACTCTTAGGTGAAAAAAAAAAAAAAAAAAAAGAAAGCAAACGAAAACCACCCATACAAAAGTAGACTCCCAGCAGCATTATTAATAACAGGACAGATGCCCGCCAACTGATGATTAAAAAGTAAAATGTGGTATGTGGAATAGTATTTGGCAATAAAAAGAAACAGATCAGGCTGGAAACATGGCTCAGTGATTAAGAGCACTGTCTGCTCTTCCAAGGGACCCAGGTTCAACTCCCAACACCCACATGGCAGCTCACAACTGTCTGTAAGCAGTTCCAGGTGGTTTGACACCCTTATGCCAATGCATATAAAATAAAACAATTAAAAAGAAACAGATCATTGGTGCACACTAATGTAGATGAATCTTGAACACATTCTACTAAGTGAAAAAAGCCAGTGACAAAGGAGCACATAGTTTATCATTCCATTCATAGAAAATCTCTAATAGGGAAACAGTTGGAGACAGAAAACATACTGGAGGTTGTCCATGGCTGGGGATTTGGATGCAAGCAGGCAGTGACTGCTAATAGGTGTGAGGTTTCTTGTCAGGATGAGGAAAATAACTTAGAATTGTTTATGGAGATGGTTGTACAAGTATATGAATACTCCAAAGATTACTGAATTGAAAACTTTAAATAGTTGAATTATGTGGTATTTCCTTGAAGCTGTTTTTCTTTTTTTTAAAGAAACCATGAAAGTATCTGAAAATATCATTTCTGCATTCAAACTGCATTTTGTAGAAATGCCCACCCAAGTCACAGAAAACCTTCAGCTCACATGGTCCAGGAAGTAACTGTCTATTGTGAAAAATGATCAGAAGAAAAACCACGTGCTCACATGCGGGAACAAAAGTAAAGGGCGTTGCTATGTACCTTCTACATCTGAAAGGACAATCAAGAGGTCAGTTTTCATCTCCACGGCCAGACGGGCAGCCAGGCTGTCATTATCCTTAACACTAATAACCTACAAGGCAGGAAAAAAAGGAGTGAGTTGGCTATGAAGTCCGAAAAGAGATTCCCAGAAGCACCCAGGTAGGCTCTGGCAGGCAAAACCAATGCTCCAAAATATGCAAATGAGAGCTCAGGCCCCGCTGCCTGCACAATGCAAAGGCTTCCCTCTGCACATGCATGCCGAACTCTTCAAGCCATGCTCACGGCACCATCCACGCCACGGTAGCACCTCATCCACTGAAGAAGGAAGCTCCCTCAGGTCAGAGGGTCCTCTGCAGCCAAGGCTCTGCAATGCCAGGTCTCGCGCTTTCTCCTCTTGCTCATGCCAAACGTCCAGTGTTAGTACATGCAGCCCAGCAGTGTTAGTCAGGGTCTCCAGCATGCTCAACTCTTAGGACTACTGTACCCACATTTACCCCCTGGAGATCACTGTTGGGCTCAGCTGGGGGGACAACAGCGTCATTCGTGTTCACGATGGGGACGATGTTCATCCGAAGCAGCTCGTGGAGCGTGCCGTTGAGATTCCTGCGCTTCTGCTCATCGTGGAAATCCAAATTGGTCACCAGAATCTGAGGAGATTAAGCAGAAGATGCAGGGGGTGGGAGGAATGATGAACTCTCTAGGAATGGCATGAAAAGATGCTGAGCATTGGAGAGACAGGCTTTAGACTTCTAGAAAACACACCTTTGGCTACTGATCCAATTTCTTCTTCTATTTTCCTTTTTTAATTAAAAAAATTAGGTTTTTTTTGTAGTGCTAGAGCGTGAACCTAGGGTCTGGCATATCTAGCCAGCATGCTCCCACTGAATTACATTTCTAATATGCTTAGCAAATTGTCTGAGAGACCCTTAAATTACAATTGTCTGGAAGATTTTACAAAATTGGGAAACCGATGCACCCACTTTAAAGGGATCCGTGACTGTAAAAAATATCTGTAAAAAATATTTCCGTACTTTGAATCTGACTCAGGGGCTGGCCATAGTAGGCACCTATGTGCTAGGTGAGTGAGCAAATGGCTTACCAGTCTTCAAGAGTGCCTTAGACAAACTGGAACAGGGCTAGGCTGTCCCTAGTTTTGCTCCAGTGCAGGGCCCTATCGGAGTTAAGGATACTATGTTTGAGTGTGGGAATAGGGATGAGCATAAAGAAAGGCTAGAGAGAACATAGTTCAGGGGAAAAGAACCAGAATAAGGTGCTTATGGGTAGAGAGGTGGGGTGAAGGCTGTCAATGGATCTGTTTTTGTCCAAGAATATCAGGCAAAAGGTAACAGTAGAGAAAAGAGAATGAGAATGACAGCGAGAAACTAAGTGATAGAAAACTCTGGAAAAAGCCAAAAAACAAAAATGTTTTCCTGCAATCCCTGACGAAGGGAAGGTGGAGGAGGTGCTACAAAAGGCAGCAGTTAAGGCCTGTCTGCAACCAGGGTCTGGCCGGGAGACCCAAGAACGCTGCAACAGGGCAGATGCCTCACTGCTCATAAAACACAGGTAATGGAGGCAAAGCAGAAGTGTGGCCAAGGGAAAGAACCCCTCACTCAACATGTGTTGCTGAGTCCCTCTGAAACAGGGATCCCCGTCCCAGCTACGGGAATGGAGAATAAGGATGGTCACGGTGGGATGGCGTGTGGCATGTGCTTGTAAGAAAACGTGACTCCTTTCTGGAAAGCTTTAGTTCTGCGGCCAAAGCTGGAGCCACTGGGTTTGGCATGCCTGTGTGAGGCTGCAGATAGAAGCATATGGGTACAGAAGGGGTATGGGAGGGGTGAGCAGGAGGGCTAAAGGTCCAGGGAAACACCTGTCACTACAACAGCTTCACAAACAAGGGCTGCTTCGGCTGTAGCTAGGAAGGCAAGGACACAGGGGTAGGGGTGAGGGGTGAGGAGTGGGGTTCCAGGCAGGGAAGCTGGTGCCTGGGCAAAGGAAATCAAAGGAAATTGGCTGGCTGAGATGACAAATCAGACTCATTTCTATGAAGGAAACACAAGCTGCTGCACTTGGGTAAGTCTTTACCCTGAGGCCCACGAGGTAGTCTCAAACCCACTGATAACAGTCTTCTACACAGGATTCCTGGAGAAAATATAAGGAACCAAAGGGGAAGGTGCAAAGAGCACGTGTGATAAGCCCCATGTGGAAGAGGGGCCCGGGTGGAAGAGGCCCAGGGACTGGAGCCACTTGGGAACAGGATGGGCAGAGCTTTAGCTCAACATCAACGCAAAAAGTGGCAGCGACTTCTAATGGGACTGTCACCACCAACAAAGCAAAACAGAACCTGTCCAAAAACATCAACTCTGAGGAAAAGTAAATAAATAAAACACAACAAAAGTGCGGTCGCTGGACCCACGTGTCCTCGCTTGGCTCCGGGCACTGAACAACTAACACTGTTGATGGACCGCAGAGAAGAGAGAGCGGATGGCACGTGTGACGGATATGGAGATTTCCATTGTATCTGCACTATGTCAGCAGCTCTCAACCCTCCTAATGCTGCAGCCCTTTAATACAGTTCCTCATGCCATGGTGACCATAAAACTATTTTTGTTGCTACTTCACAACTATAATTTTGATACAGTTATGAATTATAATGTCAATATTTTTGGGGACAGTGGCTTGCCAAGGGGATGGCGACCCATAGGTTGAGAACTGACACAATGACTGAAAACTAAGTCTGAGGTTACAGTCACAGGCCATAGGGGAAGAACTCCACCCCCTTCTGTTTTAGCACACTTGGGAACACTGATACAATATGAGAACTTGACTAGGGGTGGCAACTACAAAGATGACAGAGAACCAGAAAAAGCAATAGGAAATGAAGGCACAAACCCTGAGATATGACAGGACGTCACGGGGCATGCCTTTAATCCTAGCCCTTGGGAGACAGAGGCAGGCAGACCTCTGTGAGTTCTAGGATAGCCTGGTCAACAGAGTTCCAGGACAGCCAAGGGCTACGCAGTGAAACCATGTCTCCAAAAAGAAAACAAACAAACAAGCAACACCCCAAACCCGAGATACCTCCTGTGTAAAATAATAGCCACATAGCTATCAGGGTCAGAGGTACGAGAGAAGTTGACAAATAATAACTTTAGGCTTTATTTTTTTACCAGTTAGAGGACTGCGTTTTAGATGTTTTTATTTACTGCTTGGCTGCCCGGGTGATTAAAATCACAATTTTTTAAAAATTATAATTTTTATTTTTTATATTAATCACAGGTTATTTATTTTGTATCCCAGCCGTAGCCCCCTTCCTCATTCCATCCCAATCCCACCCTCCCTCCCCCTCCCTCATCTCCTCCCTGCCCCTTTCCAAGTCCACTGATAGGGGAAGTCTTCCTCCCCTTCCATCTGACCCTAGCTTATCAGGTATCTTCAGGACTGACTGCAATGTCCTCCTCTGTGTCCTAACAAGGCTGCTGGCTGCTCCTCCCTCCGGGGGGGGGGGGGCTAAAAATCACAATTTTTAAAAAATCAAGACATTTAGGTAAAGATGAACTAACGTAGAAAGAAGGCTCACAACATTTAGAGGTATGGACTCGACAGTAAGTCCCATGAGGATTGGAACTTCGTTTGGCTTACGCACCACAGAACCCCAATGCCAGGAGACTGCTTTGTGTACCACAAGAGCCCAATAAATATTCACTGGAGGAGTGTAATGCAAGCCACCCACCAGCATCCCTTCTTTCCCGTCAGCACTCAGTATTTACTATGATGGTGAGCAGCTGCTACACAAGAGAAGCAAGCTGCCAGAAGACAAACAAAGCAACAAAATCAACATCTAGATTCTCTGGTTTGGATGTATTTGCACTAGTAGCATTTTCTAGAGAGGCTGTGGTCACATATCAGATATTTACATCATGATTCACAACAGTATCAAAATTACAACTATGAAGTAGCAATGAAAATAATTTTATCGTTGGGGGGGTCACCACAGCATGTGGAACTGTATTAGAGGGTCGCAGGGTCAGGAAGGTTGAGAACCGCTGCTCTAGAGTTACTGCTGTAGTAACTCTTTGGGTTGAGGTACATTATGGACCAGAAGCTACCATAAATACTTTTCGTGTATTTTCTCCTTGAGCCTTTCCTAAAATCCTCTGACGTGGGCACACGAGGAAACCCAGGCAGAGACTTATAGTCTGCATACTTGCACCTGGCTGCCAGGCCTTGATTATAGGCTTCTTACTCCGCAAGAACCACCCTCACCGGTCCCACACCCCCAGGGAGGCCCAGTCTCTCACCTGGGCGGCGCAGATGCTGTACTGTGTAAACATGGCCTCGTACAAGGCCATCAGGCCACTCTGTCCGGCAGCTGCGCAGGCTCGGGCCTCTAGGACTGGAATTGCCTGCAATACACCAATCAGACACAGTGTGGCTAGAAAGGAGGGAAGACCCGAAGACTCCACTGACAGGGCCGGGAAGCCGTGCTCACCATCTCCTTCAGCTGGTTCTGCCCCGAGTGCAGGGCTTGCCGCACACTCTGAGACAGGAGGATCTCATGGCGCAGGCGCTGCTTGCCAAAGGCTACCGCTCCACTGGTCACCAGCATCATCTCTCGGCCCTGATTCTGCAGCACTGAGACCTAGCACGGAAAAGGAAAATGCACAAGTCACGGTCCTCACAGGAGACCAAAGTAGGGCAGACATGAGTGGATTCCAATCCTTCCCTAGAGGACGGTGCTCAGCCGGCTCTGGAAGAACTGCTTGGACTGTTCAGTAGAAACATAGGAAGATTCTTACACCACCTCAAATGCCTACTAGGTGGCAGGCAGAAATAAGATGTTTTAGAAGGTGATTTAGCGTGTAGTCAGGTTTGGAATCGTAGGGCTTGGGGACATTTCCCATCTACAGTGCAGAAAGCAGCCTGGGGATACACAGGATTCCAGTGGGTCACCAGCAGGGCAGGTGCTGACCCTATTCCAGTCTGCCCAGGACTAGCTGTGTTACCAGGCCCCTTGTGTTACCTTAGACAGATCCACATGGAAAAAACCCAAAGCAACAGAGTCAGTGTTCCTAACTGTCTCCCCTGATGACTGCGCCCTGTGACCTTCAGGAGTGCACACTGGCTGCTAAGAACTGTAATCTGAAACAGTCAATTCTGTAGACCAGGCTGGCCCCTAACGCAGAGATCCACCTACCTCTGCCTCCCAAATGCTGGGAGTAAAGGTGTGAGCCCCCACTGCCCGGCTTAAAACAGTCAATTCTTATCTTAGACATTTTCAGTATCGGACTGGACAGACTGTTCAGGGGTTAAGGGCACACAGTGCTCTTGCAGAGGACCTGAGTTCAGTTCTCAGCACCCATGGTGGGAGTTTCACAACCATCTGCCACTCTGACTCCGGGGTGACCCAATGCCTCTGGCCTCCATGGACACCTGCATGCATGTGGACACACCTGAACACACATAAAATTAAATAGTCATTTGTTTTTTTAAAGGACGCATTGGTCGTTTTATAAATCACACCTGGTCTCATTAAGTCCTCCAACAGGCAGCTATCGTCTCTAGTGACACCTTCACACGTCCACCATGGTTTAACGTCAATCCCAGACCACCTGCTTTACATACCCATCTCAGCAGCAATCATTAAAAACCAGGGAATTATGCATTGTAGGCACTTGCGAAATCATTATCACCCAAAATGGCTTCCTCTGTATCAAATAGCCAGTATTCACATGTCCACCCAGTTTGTTTTTTAGCTTGCTCAGACTGCAATACATCGTAAGCAGTTAATATATCTTTAGTGTCTTTTAATCCATACATGTTCCTCTCCACCATTTTGTTTTTCATGTTTCTGCTCAATGGAGCTTCTTTCCCTTCATGGTATCCTAGCCCTCATTTTTCTGGCTGTGTCCACGTACGGTACAGAGGCTTTTGTTGGGGGCTATGTGTCAAGAATCTTCTTTAGGTTGTAAGTACAAACCTGTTTTGTTGTTGTTATTATTTTTCTGTTTTGTTTTTTTTTCCTTTCAATTAAGTTGGCAACAATTGTTGATCATCACTGAGGTTCACTTTTCCATTAGGGTTTACAATAGGCCAATATTCTAGCTCAGATCAAACCCTGGTGGTCAAACCCAGGGTCACGGAGCTACATCTCCATCAATGAGTGTCTAGTGTTATCATCAACTCCCGGATTTAAACATATTTTACTGCATTGGAGCAGTTGCTTTACTCGTACTCAAACTTTTCTATCCACGACCATCGGGTGGCACTTGATGTTGCCCTCTGAACCTACCTAAAATGACTGGATGTCTCAGCTGAGACTGTGAACAGGGCCCCGGCCTGATTGCTGGGGCTCTCTAATCAGGTCCACGGAGGCAGAGGGTGAGCGGGTGACCAGATGAACTGGTTTGCCATTTCGTCACATTGCTCTATAGGGAACAGAGCCCCACCTGCTGCCATGACCCACTCTGCTTCTCAGCCCCCCTGAGGGTGTCATCGCTGCTCTCAAGCTTGCCTCTGTCAAGCTTGCCTCCTCCCAGGCCCACCTGCTCTCACACACATTATTCTTAACAAGTTGCTAGAGTGGCACCTTAATAAGTTGCTATAGTGACTGTTTTAGTGTAGCAGAATCTTCTGCCTTGGCAATTACCTGTTCAACAATAGACGCCAGGCGCCCAAGTGCCAGGCCACACTCATCTCCTCTGGTCACCACGGCACTGCCGAGTTTCACTACGATTCTCTTGGCATGCTTCAGCTCACTTCGGTGGGCAAAGGGCTTGCCATGGGCACGACTGAGGGGTACTGTGATGAAGGGGATGTTGCTCCAAGAACGAACATGTCTGACAGCTGAAGGCTGGACACGATCTATACATCCCAAGGTCAAAGGAAAAAAAAAAAAAAAAAAAAAAAAAGCAAAATACAAAACAAACAAAAAAACCAGAGAGACACAATATAACTTTTCAATGAAAAGTTTCAGGCACATTAACCAGCTTGGCTACCCAAAATAGGTGAGTAATGAATGCACTGTATCTCTAGCTTTAAATACCATTCCTTTGTTGTTTTGCCTTTGACTCAGGCTGGCCTCAGACTCACAATCTTCCTGCCTCAGCCCCCACAATGCTAGGATTACATGCTGGCCTCCATACCCAGTACACACAAATCTTAGGAAGACCATCTTATACAACTGTATTGAAGAGTCATTTCTTCTTCGTTATAGAGCTACTCTTTCAGGTGAGACTGTTTCAAGTGAAGGAAATGTAAAGAAGGTAGCCTGGCATTTTTACAATGGGCTTGCAGTCCAGCACCTGGCCTAGAGATGGTCACTGAGGCAACATCTGGGATAGGAGAGACGTAGCATGCTTAGTACTGTCTCATCCTCCTGAGGACATCCCGGGGACTACATGGGTGTGTTTGCGGTTGGGGCTGCCTGCCTTCTCCAGGCTAATCAATATATCTGCCGTACCCCAGTCTTTAGGGTATTATTCCGAGTTACATGAGTACCTACGTCTAGAATAAAAGTTGTATAGCTGATGATTTTGCTTGTGTGGCCTGACAAGAGAGAAGGGTGGTGGAATGACAGACTTATACTCTTGGAGGTCAGACCTGGATCATCAGTGGCTTTTACAGAGCCCTGAGCTCTGCCAAGTGTCACGTGACCCTTTGTCACCTGTCAGGACCAGGCCTGCTGGCTATTCGTCTCTCCTATCTATTGCAGGGCATTTCTTGTCTTGGGAATATGGGTGTGGCAGCCTGATAGGGTACCTCGGGGGCACAAACAGAAACTAGTGTGGCAGTCCCTGTGGTGAAACGGCAGAAACCAATTAGAACCCAGCAGCTGGGATCCACACCATCTCTATCAACAGAGGAGGATGGCCTGGCTTAGAGCCAGGTAGTCAAGGGTCGTTCTGCTTGCAGGTGACTGGGTCACAGCAGATTGGGGCTGACGGGGTTCAAGAGGAGGTCATAACTATCAGCAAGGTTCCAAGCAGATAAGAACTCAGTGAGTTCAATGGGCCATTCAAAGAAAGTTTCAAGGGATTCAGGCAGGGCTTGGGAGTTTCCTGTTGAACAAAACCATTTTATCTTCCTCACTTTGAATGACCCTACCATTCCTTTTCTGAGTTAGGGTCTCACGTAGCCCAGGCTAGCTTCAAACGTGCCAGGTCACCAGAGCTGGCTTTGAATTACTGATCTTCCTGCTTTTGCATTTTGAGTGCTGGGAATATAAGAGTATACGACATTACCTGGCTTGTAGGGGTATTTTTAAAAATATTCTATAGTTTCTTTTACCTTTGAGGACTATTACAATTAGACTTTAAATCCCCTCAATGGTCAGGTGGTGCAAACCTTGGTCACCAGCACAGAGAGTTGTTATTAGAGGTGACACAATCTTTAGGGGTAGGGCCTAAAGAAGAAGGTAAGGTGACCCTTGTCCCTCTTCTGTCATCCAGCTGCCACGAGGTAAGCAGTCTTCTTGGTCATGCACCTCTGACTGAGGTACTGCCTTCCCTCAGGCCAAAGGGAAACAAATCCTAACCCTGCCCTTGCGCGGCAGTGCCCACAGGCCACAGTGTGCATGCGCTGCAGTGCCTACACACCGGGGCCTCTGAAACCATGACCTCAGGTAATCCTTTCCTTACTTCTAGTTGATTTTTCTCCAGTACTTTGTCAACGGTGACAAAAGCAGACTGGCGCACGGACTGCAAAGGCTTTGATTAATTAGGGAAACCCAAAGCTTCTGGGTAGTTCTTCCTCAGCTTCTAAGAAATCTTTACCTTCTAGGCGCCAAAGAGAATCTGTTTCTCCAGAGGACATTCACAGGGTAGTGACAAGTATGTATGTGCACGCATGAGAGGGCTGTCCATATTCAGTGTGCTGTGGACTAGACACCAAAGAATGCAAAGCACTTTAGGGCTTCTCCTCAGAAAGGTTTAGTGACCAATGAGGCTGCCACAGACGATTCGAGAAGGGATCTTGATAGTGTCTCTCTCCCCAACCTTTAGCTTCCTTCCGTTTTTTCCTGAATACCTTGTGAGGTGGTTTAAATGGGAAATGTCCCTTATAGGCTATCGTATTTGAAGAGTTGGCCTCCACGTGGTTTGGGGCAGGTTTTGAAACCTTTAGGAGGTGCAGCTCTGCTGGAGGAATATGTCACTGGAGGTCGACTTTGAGGGCTTAGACCCTCGACCCACACTTCCTGCCCTCCTTCTCTGCTTCCTATTCGTGGATAAGATGTAATCATCCAGCTTCCTGCTGCTGCCAGCGAGCTGTGCTTCCCCTGCTATATCTTCCCCTGGGAACATAAGCCAAAATAAACCCTACTTCGTAGAAGTTGCTTTTGGTCCTAGTATCTCACCACAGCGGCAGCAAAGGAATAGACCCCATCATCTAGCCTTCTTATTTCTTGTCTGCTCTTTGGCTTTCCATGCCCAGTTGACCCAGGACTCTGTGACCCAAAAGAAATATGGACGCAAAAATGAGAAAAGTCAGAAGTGCCTCTTTTTATAAATGTGGACAAACAGTATCAACAATAAAAATACTGAATAACCAGTCAGGTGATACACATCGGCAATCTTAGTACTCAGGGGTGGGGTTAAGGAAAGAGAATCACGGGGTTAAGGAAAGAGAATCACGAGTTCAAGGCCAGCCTGGACTACACAGCAGGTCTGAGACCTGCCTGGGCTACCCAGTGAGATCCTTCCTGCCACTAAATAAATAGATATTTAGTAAGTAGTGGAACTGCATGCACCAATCACAGGCACCAGGGGACCATCCTGTGTAGATTTCCTCAGGCATTTATTTTTCACAGCAACAGGAAGTAGACTAACAATCATCATGATCATGGTTTTACAGGCTTTTTATGAAATAAAACTGATGAGTTATACTTTCATTATTATCCCTGTTTTATAAATAAGGAAGCTTAGGCTAGGACGAAACACCAATTTACCAATATTACCGGATTGAAAAAAAAATTATCACAGTGCTTTGCAGCTTCTCCCATCAACAGGTGAATAGCCTGCCTGAGGGTGGGAGGACACCTGCAAAACAGATGAACCAGCACCCCAGCAATCCAAGTCGGCCTGCAAGCCAGCAGACAGTAACACAGGCCCAAATCCCAACCCAAGAACAGTGGCCCTGATGGAGAGGTGTTGTGTTTGTTACTAAGCTAAGTCATTCCTGAGCAACAGAGCCAGTTGCCTGCCACAAAACAAAAACAAACAAACAAACAAACAACACCAAAACCAAAATAAAACCCCACAAAAGAAAAAAACAAAAACAAACAAAAGAATACCCATATGCTAAAAAGAGGAATTTTGACTTAACTCTCATACCTGTGTAAAAATGAACTCAAACTAGATCTTGAACTAAACGTAAAACTATAAAACTTAGGGAAAAATTAAACACACAGGAGAAAAATTTTAGGATCTATGGCAATATATACTGAGTTTGAACTTGGCTCTAACGTAAAATTCATAAAAACCAGTAAGTTTGATTGCATCAAAATAAAAAGCATTCCTCTGTGAAAGACCTATTAAAAGAATGAAATGACACATCAATAAAGTGGGAGGGAATGTTTGCAAACCACATATCTCACCAAGGATGAGAACCTAGAAGACAGAAGAATTCTCCAAGTTCGACAGGAGAAAATGAAATGTTCCAATTAAAAACGAACAAATTATAAAAGCAAAGGCTAGGAAAGGAATATGGCTCAGTGAGGAAGAGCACTCACTTGTATGAATATCTGAGGATCTGAGTTTGAATCCCCAGAACTCATGTAAAAATCTAGGCAAGGCTGTGTGCTCATGCTTACAATCCCAGCTTTGCACACCTCCAAGACTTTCCTGGCCAGCTGGCCTATCCTAAAGGGTGAGCTTTTGGTTTAGCGAGAGGCCTGTCTCACGGAATTAAGGCAGAAAGTGACAGAAGAGTATATTTGGTGTCCTCCCCTGTCCTCTGCATTTGCAAGGATGCACATATGCAACACACACACACACACACACAATACAAATATTTCACTAAAAAGAGTATTAAGCAAAGAAGCCACAAAAAGCTATTTAACATCATTAGTCACTGGTGACAATCAAGATAAAGCTACCATGTGATATCATTACATTACACCATGTATCAAAATGGTTAAAGTAAAAGAGTGATAGTATATCAGGGAAATGGAGTCATGTGCTGCCAGGGAAAGGATAAAGTGTTTTAGTTACTCTACAGAAGCAGCTGGGCAAGTCCTACTAAACTACACATGTAGGGCTGGAGAGATGGCTTGGCGGTTAAGAGCATTTACTGTTCTTTCAGTGGACCCAGGTTCAATTCCCAACCTCCACACCAAATGCTCACAACAGCCTGCCTGTAACTCCAGTTTCTGCATGTGTGTAGTTCAAAACTCATTCGGGAACACATACTTAAAGATAGATAAAAGTAAATAAACAAACCTTTTTTAAAAACCAACTAAACAAACAAGCAAACAAACAAAAAACCCCAACTAAACATGTTCCCAGTAAAAACTATCATGTGGTCCAACAACTGTGCTCTTGGGCATTTATCCTAGAGAAATGAAGAACTATGCTCATATAAAACTGCTACACGGGGCTGGGTGTTTATCCCAGCACACGAAAGGCAGAGGCAGGTGGATTTCTCTAAGTTCCAGTCCAACCTGGTCTACAAAGAGTCCAGGACAGCCGAGGCTAAACAGAGAAACCCTGTTTCAAAAAACAAACAAAAACTAAAACAAAACAAAACAAACAAACAAAAAACCCTCCTATATATGAATGTTCAAATTTAAAGTGTCTTTATTTATACCCTCTGTGCATACTCAAGAGGTCCAAGCCAAGACGTGGTTATTCAAGCTACGGAACATCTGTACCATTTTATGATGGCTCACTCTCACCATTAACTACAACTCAGATTTGGCTCTGGGAAAATCATGCTAAATTAATGAAAACAAGAGCAAAAACCAAAACCAAAAACAAAGCAAAGCATCCCAGAAAATCCAATTCACACACTACATGATTCCATTTACACAGCATCTTTCAAATGGAAAAAAAAAATTAAACATAGAAGAGATTAGTGGTGGCCAAAGGTTAGGGATACGTGAGAAAAGATAGTGATGAAAAATAAGCACGAACACAAACGGCTGGCAAGGGCTGGCAAGGGCTGGCAAGGGCTGGCAGCTTATCCTCACTGTATTCATGCTAGTCCCCTTCTGGAAACATTGTTTGAAACTGGGTAAAAGATAGATGGGATCTCTGGGTATTACAAGCGTGATGACCTCAAAATTAAACCCTTAATCACAGCAATAACAACAACAAAAAGAGTCAAACTTAACTTGTACTTATTTTGGGAGGAAGGAATGACCACATAAAAACCCACATTACTGACAAAAACAAAATGTGGAGCATCCCTCCAGCAGGTAGCCTCCTATATACTTGTCAAACTGCATCACCGCCCTCCCCCCTTAAAGCCTGGCCTGCGCTACACTGCGACCACCACACTTCCCACAGACTCATCAACGGTACATACGAGATCTGGGCACAGCTATGGACTGGACCCAAGGCAGAAGACGTTGGTTGAAGGGCTGGAACCCAGAGCGGTGCATGTGTCTCAGCATGTTGGGATGTGGTCACAAATCCAAACACCTGTGGGAAGAAATTTTTTAAAGGCGAGGTCATGAAAAATGCCAGACAACTCATTACATGCTCCTCTGCGTCTTCTCTGAAAGTAAAACTGTGAGCCTCTTGGTTTAAAGTTTGCTACATTAGAGAAATGACCTCCTCAGTGTTACAGGAACAGAAAAGACAAAGATCAAAGGGCTTCCTTCATCCTTCTTTCTCTCTCTCTCTAAGATCTGCTTTACTTTTTATACACCAAACAGTAATTAGATGCAGTGAATATTTTGAATGATATAATACCTTTAAGATACAATGCTTATATATCGGTATTAAATATTACCTGTCCTGCAAAGGCCTCTCTAACAGACTAACAAGTCCAACCTCTAGAGCAGCCTGCTACCATTTCCCACCTGAATGAGGAGGCTCACATAACTGAAATGTCAGTTTGATTCTTGCCAGCACAAGAGAGGAAAAGCCAGGGGTGGCCGCCAAGTCTTCCGTCCAGCTGCCACAGGAATCTAAGGTGTCTGCATCTCTGGAGGGCAGGGAGATAATCCTTACTAATGGCTAGCATTTTACTCTACTGTTGTATGTATTACCGAGGATATGGTAGTTAGGAAAGCTTTCTCATCCTGGGTCTCACCTAAGGTTTTAGACAAAGAATATTACAGACATATAAACATGTACATACAAAAACACAGCAGGGGACTCCTTCCTGAAAGCACACAGACAAGACATTCATTATTGAGTTCTCATGCTATAAGGTCACTCATTGCTGTTTCACAAGATGAGGAATATAACTGCATTTCCTTTGGTGGTGGCCTCCCTTTAACTTGCGCTCCACAGACTGGTAGATGGATTCCAGATCCTTTGTGTGTGTGTTATGTGTGCGGTGATGGTCAGGGCTACCTGCAAATGTGGAGGTCAGAGTTCAATCAGATGTTTTTCTCTATCTCTGTCCATGGTATCTTCTGAGACCAAGTCTCTCACTGAACCTGGCGCTTGCTGGCGAGGCTGGACCGGTTGGCTAGTGAGCTTGTACCTGCTTGTCCCCTTCCCCCCAGCTCTGGGGTTACAGAGGCACACCACCACACCTACATTTTACATGGGTGCTGGAGATCTGAACTCTGGTCTTCACGCTTACAAAGCAAGTGCTTTACCCATCGAACCGCTTCCCAAACCTCTTCTTCTGTGTGCCTCAAAATAAATCAGCTTTTAGCTTCACAACAAAGAAAAGCAAGAAGAGGGCTATACCATCCTACGAGTACCGTGCTCAAAACTACAGAAGTGGAGAGAGAAAGGATGGGATAGGACAGCCCTGCAAGAAAACATGTGGCAGCAAGGAGATCACCCAACGTGCTGAGTGATGGCTCTGCTGACTTCCGTTCTGCACAACACTGAAGTACGTTGTGGGCCAATGGTCTATGTTCAACGTTTAAATAAAATCCCTTCAATAAAGGCCACTCCACAATTATTTAAACACATCCTGCAAAGTACCTATAAAGAGCCAATAGCGACATAATTCTAGTTGTGCCCCCTTTGCACAGTTGTTCCCAGCAACTTGAGCCTTCAAGTTGGACATATCCTCCAGATGAGCTAGTTCATGTATTTGTTGCTCTCCTCAAATGGGCTACCAGCTTCCCTTTGACATGGTACAGGATGGAGAACACAAGTTTGGATTGGCTAGATTTAGGTGTTAGCTCTGTTCTTGACGGGGTGTGCTCACCTTTTGGAGGTTTACTTAAACTTTGTAAGCCTCAATTTCCTCATCTTTAAACAAGGGGTAATAGGTTAATACAGCATGAGATCACTGTGAGAGACAATGCATGGAAAGCGTCCGGGGACACAGATAAGGCTGCTATCTGTCTCCCCCTCCCGCCCCCCGCTGTCTTTTAAAAGGCACCGACAAGCCTTAACCTTTCCACTTCTTACTTCCTTTACTGACACAAAAAGGTCAAAGAGCCACTGATGGACAGCTGAACATGGTGGCATACACCTGCAATCCCAGCCCTTGGGGGAGGCAGGGGCAAAAGGATCACAAACCCAAAATCATTCTCAGCACACAGCCAGTTCTAGGCCAGCCTGAGCTACATAAGACCCTTCTGACCCGATCAGATACATATTTCTAGACTGTTTACCCCTCTCTTGTCTAAGTACAGAAAGCTGAGTGTTGGAGACCCGTTAAGTTTCTCAGTCTTCCAACTTGTACCGCTTGAATCTGTCCCCAGGTGGTAGTCCATTCTTTCACTGCAAAGGACTGTTCAACCTGCCAGTTTATGGTGACAGCAAAACCAGACAAGTGACACGAAAACCCAAAGGGTATGTGTGTGTCGAGAGAGAAGTTCTTATATTTTAACTCAGAACCCCTCTCAAGTGCCTAAACACATCTACACTGAAAGCTCTTATCTCACTTAGAGAGGTGAACTTCAGTCTCAACAAACCACCCCAAAAAACACATGCTGAGTTCATGGTTCACTACTTAACAAAAAGACAAAAGCCCAAAGATAAATGTCTGTGCTTTAGAGGGTGGGGAGATAATGCTGGGGCGAGACGTGCACCCCTGACTGTGCCAGGAGAGAATTATTAGACGCGGGAGCTCTGGGGGTAACCTTGGCTGCTGGGAAGATCCCCTATGCACAGGCTCCATATGCCAGGGTGCTGCAAGCCACAGAGAACTCCAGACACAGGCCCCGGGGGTGCGCCGGCGACACATAGCACACCAGGTGTTTCACTACTGGCAGCGCAGGGACCCTGGAAGCCGGTTCCAGACTTGGGTGGGAAGAGGCTGCAGGGTCTTCTGGCCTCCACCAGGTCGCATACCCAAAAGATCGCCAGGGACCTCTCTCATGCCCCGCACAGGGAGCTGTGCGCGGGCATCTCAGGGTACCTGGGCACCCCGAGCCACAGCCACCCGCGGCCGGCTCCCACGTCCCCACCCCTCTGGGCTAGCGGCAGCGCCCCGATTCTTCCCCCGCCCCCCGCGCGCACCCTCGCCCGGTGCGGCCCGGTCGCCTACCTGCCTGGCCGCCGACCCCAGCCCCGGCCCACTCTCCGCTCCCGCCGCCCTCTTCTCCGCCTTTTCTTCCGTCTACGTCCCCGATCTCCGGCGTTGCGTCAGCTGCGTTAGAATGGACTCCCGCAGCGCCGCTGACGTTGGGCGACGGGTCCGACCCGAGCTACGCCGCGGCAACGGCGCAGGCGCCTCTGAGAATCGCGCCCTCGCTCCACGTGGCGGGCCCCCTCCCGCGCCAAGCTCCGCGCCCTTAGAGTATAGGGGCGGGGCTCCGGGCACCCAGACAGCAGCCGCCGCAGACAGCTTCCCAGAGAGGTAGAGAAGAGGGCTGGCTCCCACCTGCTGATGGATTTCATAAGGCGAGTTTGACGCTTAATCGTGTGTCTGTCAAGCTCACCGAAGAGCTAGATTGGATCAACTAAGAACCTCCACCTCACTCCCGAAAAAAAAAAAAACAAAAACAAAAAACCGGCTGTAGAAAAAAATTTGCCTTCATGATAAAATGAGTTGGTACCTAGTTATCTGAAAAGAACAGCCCAAGCATTTTCAGCAAAGGAGGTGGTGCTAACACTGCATTTAAAAACTGTGTTTGCTCTCTGATCACTGATCATTCAAAAAAGCTGAATGCATGCAGAGCATGGACTGTCTGCCTCCTTCCCGGCTGGCTATGTTCTCCTCCCGTGGCACTGCTGTACAGAGGCTATTGTCTAGGGGAAGTCAGCTGTGGTTGGAAGTCGGTGCTTTGTGCTTTTGTAGTCCTGATGCTGCTGCTGAGCCTACATGGTCATTCATTTTCTCATTCAGGAAAGGGGCCTTACAGCTGCTTCTCAGTCCATGATGCAGGGGTGTCGGGAAGAAAGGCCTATGAGGAGGTTTCCGGTCAGGAGAGATCCAGGTTCCTGGACGGCAGGGTTTGCAGAAGCGGTTTCCCCTTCCGTTCTTCATCCATATTGGGGCACCCGGGTTGTCCTGCAGTCCGCCTTGTGAGCACAAACTATGAAGTCGAGATCGAGTCAGGGCCTTGATCTTGAACCGTGAGGAAAAAACAAAACAAAACCCCACTACCCAGACTTAGGTATTCAGGTCCACCTCCACAAAATGGACCCAGCTCATTTACGTGTGAGGCATTCCTAGGTGGGGAGTGAGGCATTGGTTAGTTCAGTTTCTGTAGGACAGAGAGATGTGCAACTTGTTTCAAAACAGTGTGATAAAGGTCAAAGGGTGACTTCAGAGATGGAGTGGCTTTAAAGAGAGCCGTCTTTTGTACTGTGTTGTGAAGGACAAGTTTACCGAAAAGATGGGGGATGGAACATTCAAGGCCCCTTTGAAAATAGGGATGTTATAACAGGGACCCAGAACTTCATAGGCCTGAGACCTTAGCACAGCTGACTCCATGCTGGAGGTGCCATTGGGACTTGTAAAACTCTGTGTGTAGATAGTACTACCTTCCAAACTAAAACAAAGACCTAATCCACCAAAGACCATAGTTCTGGGAAAGTTTCTAAATGTACTAACCTTGCTTTTTGGCTTCTGGAGCTTCACTTCTGGCTAACTGTTCTTGTTAAGTGAAGTATGTCAACCTAGGACATGGTTTTGGTGCTTAAAAGCTCATGCTGAGAAAGGCTCTGGGCTACAGTGGAATTCCAAACACCCAGTGCAGTCTCTGGTCAGCTAATAAAGACTTTCTATTGGCTTAAACCTGTATTCCTGCAGTGTTCTCCAGTGGATACCTCACAACACATGACAGAAGATACCTGGAAGACCGCCATAGGAAGGTGTGCTATGCTAACCATGTTGAACCTTATGAGCCACCAAGTCAGTAAATCCAAACTTTTTAAGCCCTGGAACGGTATGATCAGGTTTTTGGGTCAGAAATCAGTAGAAGCCAGGAGGTTGGTTAGCCAATTGCAAAGCTCATGTAAGAAATGATGGGCAGACAAGTCTCCAGCAGGGGTCGTCGGAGCAGGAAGGGAGGAGCGCTCACAGCACTCATTGTTAGGGGGAGCACCAGAAGAGGAGGTTTTCCAGAGTGTGAAATGCTGTAGTGTAAGAGCCAGGAGGTAGAGGAGGGGAGCCGTGCTTTGGGAAGAGAGTGAGAGAGGCCTGCGCTTGTTAAATTTTGAACACGTTGAAGGGGTGGGGGGTGGGGACTCAAGGAAAACAAAATAGCAGGAACTGGTTAGATCTGGTACCTGGGTGTCTCAAAAAAATTCTCCTGTACTTAAAGCACTGTGGATGGGTGAAGCTAGATCAGGGGACCAGGGTTCTCAGCAAGTCAGAAGGCTGATTCTGGTTCTTCAGTTCACCCACACATCACCTTATGATAACTGTTTGTCTGCCCTCCCCTCTAGGGTGCAATCCCCTGAGAGCAGGAGAGTATTTTCCTAAAATATAAGAGACGCTGCGTAAGTATTTGATGAGTGAATAAGTTTTATTTCTTTAGGTGTTGGTGTACTTTTTAAAAACTCCTTTATTTGCATTTCTTTTATCTTTTCCCCCCTGCTCCACCCCAATCCCTTCCAACACTCCCAACACCAGGTAGGAAGAGAGAAAGGGTTGGTGGGAGAAGTTCTGTTTACAGAAGGGGGGAAAATGTGGACATAAACATGTTTTTGTTTTGGTCCCAGGTGTGAGATGTGGGACTGATTCAGATGGTCCACAGTAGCAGACTATTTGCTTCTTGAGGGTTCTGAGAGGAGCTCTTTTCCAGCTGTAGATAGTTTGAATCTGAGGACTCTGGAGAGGATAAATGTCAGAGCCCAGAGAGTGGCACTCCAAGAAAGAACAAGGCAGCTCCTGCTTCCCCCTTGCTTCTCCTAGTTGCCGTTGTGAAACAAGAAGTTGGAGATCTCCTGAAAAGAGGGTTGAGGGTTGGACTGGCTCCAAGGAACCTGACGACCCTAACCAGCAGGAAGCAGGTAAGAAAGAACTACATCCCCTCTCCCACTAACCCTTTCTCTCTCCTACCTGGTGTTGGGGTATTGGAAGGAATTGGGGTGGAGAAGGGAGAAAAAGATAAAAGAAATGCAAATAAAAGAGTTTTTTTTTTTTTAAAGTATGCCAACATTTAGGTTTTTAAAAAGTTCAGATTCCTCAAAAAATTAACTAGAATTGATCCTCAGTGTTGAAAAAAGAAGATACTGGGCTGTTAACAACACCCTTGTTAAGCTGGGACATACCTGCAACTCCAGCATTCCAGGGGCAGAGGTCAGAGGACTGAGACTCTAGCCTGCCCCGACTACATACACAGTGAGTTCCAGGTCAGCCTGGGCTCTGCACCAACATCCTTTCTAAAAGTGTTTCAAAGAGTCAAACATGAAAATCCTTAACATTTCTACCGTTTTGGTTATTTTATTTTTTATTTTACTTTACTTATTTATTTTGCCACTAATACTCTACTTTGCCAGTAGGGAGAAAGGAATGGTTAGGTGACTACCAATAAGGGAAAAACAAATCCTAGACATATAGCCTGTTTGTCTCTGTAAAAATCAAGGAAGTAATTTAGTCATGTATCTTTCCCAAATATAAAGCAAATATTCTTCTTTTGACTGGGGGGGATTTAACTTCTGTCTTAGCAAACGGGAATAAGGCTGAACACAATCAGGAAGTCATGCACAAAGCGGGACATTTAGAATAGGGCCTCTCACAAGGTAGCCCAGGAATTCGCTGTTCTTGACTGGTTGGTTGAGTGACTTGGGAGGGGTGGGGCATGTCATTGCAGTGTGGAGGTCAGAACTTGCGGAAGTTAGTTCTTTGCCTCTACCATGTGGGTTCTTAGAGTTGAACTCAGATCAGACTTGGCAGCAAGCACCTTTACCTTTTGAGCCATCCTACTGGCCCAGGAATTCACTGTGTAGGCCAGACTGCCTTTGCTTCCTAAATGCTAGGATTATAGACATATGCTGTCACCACCACTATGCTTGATTTTTCACAGGAATGTATTTTCAGGTGCCAGACTTAATTTGTCTTCCTTTTCTTTTTTCTTTGGGGGGGGGGTGGAGTGGGGTAGGGCGAGGTCTGATTCTGGAGCTCAGGCTGGCCTTGAGCTCAGGCTGAGATTAGAAGTATGGACCACCACATTCAGGCTTCAAAGCAGCCTCAAGTTGTGAAATTGTAAAGACCAGATACCCATCCCAACAAAGCAGTTTACTCTCGGGAGTAACTGAGTCTCTCAGGGAAATAGAGAAATTTAGGTCTCCCAAGAGACCTAATATAAAATAACTGGAAAATCAGGAACCAATACTGTTCTCCACTCCTGAGTCTTTTATTACACATCTCTCACCCCACCTAGTGCTTATGAAACTAAATGTGAGAGTTGTGAAAATTTTGGCAATAGTACATAAATAGCGGAACGTTTCTTTGCACACATTTGAATGATCAAATGTTAATTCAAAAGTGAGCAATTGAGGTGCTTCTGGCAGCACTCCCTGCATGTCACATAGTGAGGCTTCAGTCACCTTAGTCCTGACACACATGCTTACTGAACACTGTAAATGTATCTTCTACACACCACCAATGAATGATGGCCCAACTCAGATTCCAGACTGGGTATTATGAATGCAGTGTTCTGACTGCACATACAAAGTTTTCTGCTCTTACAGAAAGGTAGTGATTTATTTGTGGAAAATTTAATTCTCCTCCTGCCATTCCTCAGATGTAAGCATTGAATTAACAAATTTCTAGGCTGTATAACACTTGAATTTTTGGCTTTCAATATGTGATGGAAAAATGGTCTTCCCAGCCCTAAAACAGACTGGTAGTTAGTGTCATTCCTGATGGACAGGCTTGATCTTGCTTCCAAACTCCTGGGAAAGAAATTTTTCCTGGCCTACTGTGTGATTCCAGGACTCCATGCTTAACCAGGCAGCTGAGGTAGGAGCAGGAGGCCTCTGTGTCATGTGCACAGAGGCTCTGCCCACACCGTAGCAGTGAGTTGATGGGTATGCTCCAAGAAGTACACATAGCCAGGAGTCGGCAATGACCAACAAGCCACACTCTGTACTTTATAGTTTCACAAGCCAGGGGGCACACCAGAAGCAAAAGGAAAACGTTAAAAAAACAAATAAAATAAAAAATAAACAATAAAAATAAAAAATAGAAGAAATCTGTGATTCTTTTGCCTCTCCACATGGACACAGGTTTTCTTTTTTCTAATTGCTTATTTATTGTAAAAGAATCTCACAGCCGCCACCTCCCTGTTCCTTTCCATAGGTGAGCCACAATCTCCAGACCCAGGGCTCAGTCAGTATTTTACCTTAGAGAACTCCAGATCACAAAAGTGACGGGCATGTGTGAATGATTCTAGACCTGAGATGTTGAACAAACAAATCCATCAACAGAAAAGGTGACATGACAGATGCCCGACCTAGGCGTGGGAATAAGCATCTGCACAAAGGAGAACAGAGGGAGAGGGAGTGATTCTGGAGAGAACTTGTAGTTGGCTCCAAGTGGATTGGGTCAGCTAGCCCACAGCTTAGGAAAATGGTCACATTGGGCCAGTAACCTCTAAGACCAAACTTGAAGCCCTAGTGGTGGGAGTGACTGTGTCTGGGAGCAAGGCTTCTTAGCTAGATCACAACTGTGGAACAGGCTCTGTTAAGAACTGTGCTGCCAGCAACCATGACCCTGACTGCGCTGTGCAGAAGCGCTTCTCGCTCGGTGGTAACTGCTGCAAGAACTTTGCCCCTTTCAGAGAAAAGGCTACTTGCTAAGGACTCTGGAATGGAACAAAATAATAAAGCAGTTGAAGATGGTGTATAGTCAGCATTTTCTGCTCCTGAAGCAGGGTTATAACTAAGTTTTATTGAAAGACAATTTGTGAGTGGGGTGGTGGTGGAGTGCACCTTTAATTCCAGCACTCAGGAGGCAGAGGCAGCAGGTTTCCGTGAGTTTAAGGCCAGCCTGGTTTATAGAGTTCCAGGATAGCCAGGGCTATACAGAGAAGCCTTGTCTTGAAAAACTAAAACAACAAAACAAAACAAACAAACAAACAAAAACCAATCTGAGTTTCAGAGCATTAATAACCTCCAACCCCCTCTCTGCCTGGCTTTCAAATTCCCACACAGTGAGTTTCCATCCATGTTTAATCCACTCAGTGTTTTTCCTATGATCAGTTTAGTCCATAGTAATACCTGGGCCTCCCCTCAGGTTTTCCCAGGTCCCCAGGTCACTTCCCTGGCCCATTCACTTTCCCAGGCCTGCAGATTTTGATGTTTGTGCCAATCTCATTATGTGGCCAAAGCTCACCCTCAATGCAAGCTGCACTGACTGTTTCCAGTGGCACATATTGCTCAGATGGGGATGGTGCCTTAGAATTTCAGGTTTCACATATTTTCACTGGACTTATTTTTTTTACATCCTAACACTTCATGTTCATTGTCTTATTCCAAGGCTTAATGTAAAAAAAAAGAATTTAATAAATTATTAAATTAAAACAATTTGATCTAATGTCATTTCTTCCACCAAAAACTTGCTTTAATTAAGTGGACAGCATGAGTCTTTAAGTTTCAAGTTTTGTTGTTGTTGTTGTTGTTGTTTTTTACTATAATTTTCAACCAATTTGTCTTTACTCAAGAAGAACAGGAAATGACCTCAAGAAGTCTGTGTGCATGTTACCATCTGTGGATTGATTGGCCAGGCAGTCAGGGCTCTGTGATACCTTATCTACCAATACCTTATCCTTAAAGAAACATCTTCAAATAGATGTCAGGCATAAAACTGGACTAAAGGAAGAATATTTCACCAGAAAAGCAACCAAGTCCCCTTATTTGAACACTACTGCACAGTTTATGAGAGTCTCCACTCCCCTTTAAGCCTCATACACATAAAAATGTTCTGGGTCTAACACAGGCTGTCAACTTCTGCCATGATGCTGGACTTCACAGAGTTTTCAGGCATTTTTATCACCCCCCACACAACAAAGTAGGGAAGGACAGAAAGGACTGGTGGATTTATTTGCTAGTGAGAAGAGGAGATGGGATTCCATTCACTTTGGAAAACGAGTAGAAAGAACTACATTCCTAACTCAGGTCTGGGCAAAGGGTGTGGCAACACTTTGGAAAATGAGCAAGACAAAATATAGAGCCAGCAGTTTCCTGGCTTGAAGTGTCAGCGCTAATGCAGGCCTAGCCATTCTGAGTTCATTCTGGGTGATGGCAAGAGCATGTGTCTGTGAGCTGCTAGACAGATCTTGCAGATACTTCAGACAGACGAAAGTCAACGTGGAGAGACGGAGGCCCTTGGCCTGCCCAGCTTTACAAGCAGACAACCCCGCTGTGTGCCCAAAGGCCTGTGGAGCTCTGATCAGAGCACTAGAATGATGGAACAGTATAATCACTTTTCTAGACCACCATCTTCAACTTATAAAGATTCCTGGCTGGGCATGGTGGCTCATGCCGTTAATCCCAGCACTGGGGAGACAGGGTTGGGGAGATTCTGTGAGTGGGAGGCCAGCCTAGTCTATCCTGGGAGTTCTAGGTCAGCCAAGGCTACGTAGTGAGTAAATGGAAAAGGTTTTTAGTTTTTGTTTTTTTTTTTTCCTTTTAGTTGGGTTCTGTTTCGCTAAATTCCCTCCTGTAACCGTTAGTACATGAGGACCTGTTTAGCCAAAATAAGTAGGCTGTCTTAGAGTTTCCCACAGGGAAAAATGAAACCTGATTATTTTCTTTCTTCACTTGGTCTGTGAGTTGAGAACTCCAAGTAGAACGATGCACAGGATGAGGAAGAGAGAGGCTGAGTCTTTTTGAACACTGGTCCCTCCACTGAATGCCACTTTGAAGGGAAAGAAGAAATCAAATGGCAGTTTCCAGTCCGTTCTAGGTTGATCCCTTGGTGGCTCTGGCTTCTGAGTTATGTCCACAAAGTTCACAACAGTGGTCAAAGAAACTTCTATTCCTTTCTGGTGCTCCTACAGGGAAAGAGTCAAAGGTAGGTGAGCTCTTGGTACATTTCATGGAGTCTCCACCTGCATTACTTTCTTTGGACTGAAAACACATGTGCTCTGAGCAAGATACTTCTTCTTGAATGGTCCCATGTAGTTCTCTTTGTGTGAGATACAAGCAGATACATTTCAAACAACAGACCCATGACCCAGAATCTGAACAGGTGCATTTCAAGACTCATTCTCGGACTCTGGCACACATGTCCTTGGAAGGCAGAGACAGGAGGATCAGAGGTTTCAGATCATCCTTGACTACAGCTAATCTGAGGACAGTCTGGGTTATACAAGAAGCTGTCTCAAAAGAGAGTTTCACTGTCTCTAACTAGGGAAGTGCCTGACAGCACAAAGGCCAGATGACCAAACCATCACATGCTTAGTAGCTCTTCCCTATCAGAGGATGGCTAAAAACCAAAGAATCGAGGGAAGAAAGCAAAGAAAGAAACAAACAAAATCACAGTACTGCAAATATCGAATTCACAGACTCATAGACTTTAAAGATTTCCTCAGCCATCTATAATGCAAGTCAAATAGCAGGGATGTTCCAGGAGAAATGACCATGTCAGGTAGACCCTGTATCTAATCTCAGAGAAAGGACTTCTAGATGCAGCTGGACCTGGTGTCATGTTCCTAAAGTGAATTCCTTTGTTTTGACCTTGTGCTGACCACACAAACTCTGATTCTAATTTTGACAGTAAATAATTATCTTGTAGAACCTGGAATGAAGCTATCCTGTTTTCCCTTCATCACTCTCACGGATATTCCTACTACCTGCTGGAGTTTGTTTATTTAGTTATTTATATGTGTTTTTAAAGATTTATTTATTTTTGTTTTATGGCCATGAATGTTTTTGCCTGCCCATATGTTTGTGTACCATGTGCACCTGCTATCCAGGGAGGCCAGTAAATGTTGTCGGATCCCCTAGAATTGGAGTTACTGACAGTTGTGATCTGCCATATGGAATCAAACTTGGGTCCTCTAGAGGAGATGTCCACGCTCGTATACATCGAGCCATCTAGCATCTGCTGTGGTTCTTGAAAACATCAAACAGATTCCAAAAATGTAATTTTGCCTGGAAGTACTCTTCTAAGGGCTTTACTTACTTCTGATTTTGAAGTGGCTGTAGGGGCTCTTTTGTAAAGCAGTCACACTCACCATAGCTTTGCAGGACATTCATCCAAGGACAGCCTGCCTTGGCTAAAGTGGTTCAAGGAATACAAGACTCCACCAGACACTGAAAACTAGCTAAGACTAACTGGAAAAAGATAATTAGGGCATGCTTCACATAGCAAACTTAACAACAAGTAATATGTTTTCTTTGGAATTTAACTAATGATAGGGATTTTTGTTAGAACCTTAATTTAGTCCCCAGGAACTTTGGAATGAAAATGAGATACATTAACAAATTTGGAATAAAGTGAGCTGGCCAAAATGCTCAAAAATACATTGGGATGGAAGATGGAACGGGGAGTAAATTTTTAGTTCCAGCCTTAGAGTTGGGTAGGAACTCAGTTAACATGCTGCTCTGCCCCACTTCAGGGCCTTCAGAGGGAAGACAGACTTTTAGTTGCTAGTTTTTCTGGAAGGACACTTCATGGAGCAGTGGTTAGAAAAGGAGTAGTGGCCTTGGGTATTTCCACCTGTCCACCTACACAGTATTTATCAGTAATAAAACCCATTCTTTAGTTTCTACATTTAAGTTTTTTTATTTTTATTCTCTGAATGCATGAAGTGTGTGTGTGTGTGTGTGTGTGTGTGTGTGTGTGTGTGTGTGTGTGATTTCCATTCTTCCATCGTGTGGGGCCCAGAGATGAAACTCATAGCTTGGTGGCAGGTGCCTTTAATTGGCAGAACCATTTTCTGGGCCCCAAACTGATTATCTTAATGTATACTTTCTGATTCCCTTTTAAAATTTTTATCTTAAATTTTAAATAAACATATCAATCACATATATATATTTCTATGGTACAGTGTACTATATTAAGATATATAAAATAGGGAATGATCAGATCAGGAGAGTTTGGATATTGAGGCCCCTGACATTCAAACTCTGTGTCTGGCTGCTTTTCATTGGTTTCCAAAACAGGGAAAATGTTTTTCAGCCTAGAACTGATTTCACAGACACCCATGAGCCCAAGAAGGCAACTGTGACACCTGTGTCTCCTCAACAATATAGTGTTGAGTCCTGGGTGGCATTTTGATGGCTAAGAAGCCGCACAAAATAAGCTATCTGAATGGTAGTCCTTCTAGCTGCACATGGGACATATACTCATCAGAGCTGCTACTTGATGGGATTTTCAAGGTGTTCTCAAAACAGCGCATCAGCGAAAACAGATACAGAAACTCCCCTTTCACTGAAATGGGAAGACAATAACCTAAGAAAAACATGGGTAGAGGCAGGGTTTACAAAGGAAAGGAAGGCCATGTATGAGGAGATGGAAATGATAATTATTCTCATTTGATCATTAACCTGTATTAAAAGCCCATTCTGTATCTTATAAATATATACAATTATTATGCTCCAGTTAAAACCAAGGAAACTTCACAGTTGTATGAAGGTTTAGAGTAAAAGCAGTCCAGATGACTGGCCAGGTCAAAGGGATGGAACTGCACTTCCAGTATTCAATTATTCTGAACAATGCCGAGCCATCTGAGAGTGCAGTTTATTACCACGTGGAGGACAAGGTTCAGTGTATTAAACTGGAATTTTGAGGTCTACAGTTTTGGTATTTGCATTTTAAAGTTATGTACAGGCAAAATTGGAGAACTCATTGCTCAGTGTGTGAGTCACTGAAACAATTCCCTCAAACTCTGCTCGCCTCGTTTCTTTTGTTGAGACAAACAATGCCAGAGCCACGGCAGCACATTTCTTTTTGCTAGGGTTTCAGTTCTGTTCTGTGTGGTTGACTTCACTTCTTTCTACTTTAAGTGATAATAGCTTATGCTGTCTCCTTTAGAAACCATCGCCAACACTTCCTGAGGCTTGAGGTTTATTTGTTTCACTTCAATCTACAATGCATCAACATCCGTTTTTCAACATAAAATTTACTAACCAACAACATGAAGAGTTTTGGGTTGGGTTTGTTTGGCTTTTATAACCGGATATACATCTATGCATTATTGTATCTTATGAAGCTTACTGCATTTTAGTCAATTTTAAATCACCATGTTCTCCATCAAATCATTACATACGAAAACGATTATTAAAAATCTGGGGATGCTTCCTCTGAGAGTTGTGTTTTACAGTTACACTCATGACTGTGAGCTAGAACAGAATATCTTTGGCCAGAGTGTAACTCATGACTGATACACGCAGTTCCTATTTTACGTGAAAGAACACCATCAGGTGCATATATTGTGAGTATTTCCCTCTGGTCTGGTTTTCCTTTTATTTATTTTTTCTTTAAATGTCTTTTTGTTGGGTTTTAATGCTTTACTTGATGTAAAATTTATAAACGAGAAAATCGATGTGCACTAGTTCGGGTCAGAGTTCTGGCTGCTGACTGTATTATCCAGCCAGAGCCAAAACAAGAGCCAGAAGGTGCAGCATCTCCGTTCCTCTGTGATTGCTTTTCGATCGTATCACTGGACTACCTAATGGTTCTTCAGTTATTCATGATCAAAACACAGCTGAAATTCTAACCTTCTACTTGGTCAGGTAGACTGAATGACTGAATAATATAGTAGGCAATGCCCACTACCACAAAAAGACAAAGGGTCAAATATCTAGAAAAAAAAAAAACAGTCAGTGGGCGGCTGTAATGCCCGAGAGTCAGAGACATTGGAAAAGAAGAAACACAAAAACAGTCTTGTGTCAACAGAACTCAAATTATAGTTGAGGAAAATTTATCAGTGGATTCAGTGCAGGTTCTAGAACAGACTACAGGAGTCTCCCAGAAACACCCGTCTAGAGAAAGAACAGGAACCCTCCTGATAGCCTGAGGATTAATGCTGCTGATGGGCACAGACCACCAAGTGGTCCAACCTTGCTGCTTGGAGAGTAAAAGTACTTTGTGTCAGACATATGTACAGGCCCCAGTTACTCTTCTGGCAAGCAAATATATTACAACAAACAGAAATTTCAATGTTTCAGTTTTCATTAAAAGCTAACCAGTTCAAACACGAATCATTTCACCTCATTATTTCTATGTAAAAATACTGTATTTTTGAATCTGTAAAGGCACCAGAGATTATACATTCTAGAACCAAGGCAGATGCTAAGTCTGTTCTCCAGCACATTATAAACAGGAGACATATGTTTATTCCAGACGAAAGCATTTACTTAATGGAGCCCATAAAAGCAAGAATTGGAACTACACCTGTAACTTTATTCACACTCAACAGATTCCAAAACACCACTAGTTGAGTGACTAGACTAGTTGAGTGAACAGACATGCATAGAAAATGCTTTCTGTGGTCAGAGTAGTAATAATAGCAGGGTTATTTAAATGAAATTAGTCTCTACTGAAATCTGGATGGGGCCATGGGGAAGGTTGTAGTCACTGTGACAGAACGTGAATTTTCAAAGCTGAAAAGACTGGAAAATGGACTCTGGGGACTCCCTCTAAAGAAACACACACACACTGCCTCTCAGGAGTTCAACAATGACCTGGCCATCAACCACGCGAGGAACATGACTTACCTGTACAGACCTGCACTGGTACAGGAATCGAGCACCGGCCACATGAGCTTGTGGGTTGGACTGAAGTCCGATATATGCCCACAACACCTGGATCTCCAGGGAAACTGGTATGAAACAGCAGGAAGTGCAGTTACCAGCCTGCAGAAGGTAAAGAAGCACTCAGTTGCCATCGTTTTTTGAAAAGATTTTTGTTTATGTGTTTGCATGTGTCTCTCTGTGTGTATTTGCACATGTGGACATGGAGGCTAGAGAGGGTGTCAGAACCTCTGTAGGTAGAGTTCTAGACTGTTGTGAGCTACCAATGGGTGCTCTTAACTGCTGGGCCATCTTCTCTCAGCATCTCCCGAGCAGCTATTGTTTTTAAAGCTTCGTGTAATACTATGGAGGGCCTATATGGCTTAGAGGAAGCACAAAACCGGCCATACTAATGTACTTAATCTTAAAAAAGTTGTATTTAAAAATGAAAGACAGGATGAAGATTCTTCTGGAAAACTTAAGATACATCTAACATATGGTCTGGCTATTCTGCTCTTGGATGTGTATAATCAATGAAAATGAAACCAGCATGTCAAAGAGATAACTGCACTGCCACTCACAACAACCATCATCGGCTCTCCACTGAGGTGCCTATCAATAGATAAAAGGATGAAGAAAGTGTGGTATCCATCTAATGGAATAAGATTCATTTGCTCATGAAAGAAAAAAAAAATGGAACCCTGTCATTTGCAGTAAAATGGATGGACATGGAGAACACTACATTCTATGACATAAGTGACACATGGGCACACTGTCATTCATAAGCAAGAACTGATCTTTTTCTTCTTTTGATTTTTGAGATATGGTTTCTCTATGCAGCCCTGGCTGTCCTGGAACTCACTCTATACAGAGAGACCCGTTTTCCTCTGCCTCTCAAGTGTTGGGATTAAAGGCCTGTGCTGCCACCACCCAGCTGAAAATGTTGACCTTAGCAGAGAAGAGTAGAATTCTACAGTGATTAGGGGAGACTAGTTAAAAGTGGGGTGGGGTACACAGAGAGTAAAATGAGATAGTTAGTAGCAAGCCACCAAGTTTTAGTTAAACAGGAAGAAGAATTCCTAGTGCTCACAGCATAGTAGGGAAACTAGTTTTAAGTAACTACTCCAAGTACAGTAGGGCAATTACAGTTTTAAATAACTGATTGTGTCTTTCACGCAGAATCTGGAGGTTTAATTCCCAGCACTGAAAGAAAAAAGTTCTTGAGAAGAAGAGCTCACAGGCTCTGAAGGCAACAATAAGGAGATGGAAATGATTACTAATTGCATGAATGTGCTGAAATCTCACAAACAGACCATACATACACATGGTTATGTTAATTAAAAATAAAACTTCCAAAAAGGCACACAGCTAGAAACACTCAAGGAGAAACACTCATTAAAGCCACAGCTACAAAGTGTGTCCTACGGACCAAGGATAGGAAAGGCCATGGCCTTGAGCAGAGAACTTGGATTGAAAAAGTAAAAAAGGATATAACACATGAGCAATGACAAGTTAAATAAGACACATTAAGGTTAGGTTCTGTAACCATCCAAACAGTTTTTTTTTTTTTAAAGGCATCAGGGAGCCAAGTAAATCTTTGGAACAGAAATATGGCATACTTAAATCAGTACCCGAAGAGAAATAACTGCAAGGTGTGGGAAGACGCATCTTATTTGACTTCAACTTTTAAACAGTTAATAGCTTTTAGGTAAATGTGAAAAGTGTGATCTTTATTTGGTGGCAGTGAGAACTGAACCCAGTTCAACTACCTGGCAAGAATTCTACACAGAGCCACACACCTTGTCCTACAAACCTGACCTGTTGCAATTGTAAGAGAACGAGCCTGCTGTCAGCCTCATAAACAAATCCGTATTGAGCAATATTTAAGACTGCAAGTGTAGCTGGAAACATGGCTCAGCAGGTAAAGCTTGCTGGCTGCCAAGCCAGGCAAGCTGAGTTTCATCACCCCCAGGACCCACACAGAAGGATAGGACTACCTCTCCAACCTGTCCTCTGACTTCCACACATATTCAAACTCACATGATAAACGTAATGAAAAAAAGAATATGAGAGAATATTTGAAGTATATGGCATGGCTTTGAACCATAAGCAACCATCAGTGGTTTTCAACCTTCCTAATACTGCGACCCGTTAATATAGTACCTCATGTTGTGGTGACCCCCAACCATAAAGTTATTTTCATTGCTACTTCATAACTGTACTTTTGCTGCCATAAGTTATAATGTAAATAAATACCTATGTTTTCAGATGGTCTTAGGTGACCCCTGTGAAAAAGTCATTCAAGCCCCAGAGGGGTCATGACCCACAGGTTGAGAACTGCTGCTCTAGATGCTCTGCAAGTTTCTTTTAAAGTAAGGAAAATAGATTAGATGTAAATGTACTTGACCTCAAACAGGAACACCTTCTTACATTGTTCTTGGTATGATAAAGACAGGCAGAAAGAAGGCTGGTTTTGGCCTTGCTGTCTGCCAGTCAGAGGTGGCTTCCTTCCTTACCGAAACACTGCAGTTCCTGCTGAGGATCCTGGTCCACCCTCCTTTCTGGGCTGGGTCAGCATTACCAAAGATGGCAACGTGGTCTGGTCTGGGACTTCCATGAAGAGTCTGGTAAATCTCCGTCTGCAAGTGGCTACAATTTGCCTCTTTGGGTCTGAAAGTAAAGACCATAGAAGCTGGAGTCGAACACTAGCCTGGGAGCGACACCATATTAGTATTCAAATATAAAATTAATAATATGATAGAGATTGGAAGAAATCATCTTAGCAGGCACTCCATAGATCTAAGGGCTATTGTTTTCTAAAGTATTATTTAAAATATTAAACAGCTACGACATCTACATAGTCCCTATAAACAGAAACAAAATTGTGGAAAGCGCTCTGAGGCAAATAATTACCTTAACTTGCACCCAGATACTGTGTTCATTCCAAACTGTACTTCATGTCTCTTAACAGAGCAAATTCCATTACCTTCACTCTTCAACAGGGTCATCTGAGGTGCAGGAGTGATGGTCAAGGCAATTATTACAGATAAGAGAAATGGGCGGGGCTGGGAAATCGATGCTTCCACCCTTCCTTAAGTATTATTTGTATTATATTAATATACTGCCAGTTCAGTCACAAATTTATTTTCTCTAGTAGTTAAAAAACCAGACAAATAATGTCTTTCTAAAAAGGATTAACCATATATTAGCATATGAATATTTATTTAAAATAAATAAAAGTCAGTATAATTTTCACTGTTAGCTAGGCTGAGGTGTAATGCCTTGGGAGGCATCAACATTTAAGAACGTAGTACACTTTGGTAAAGAAAGTGCTGAATACCAAAGCCCGGCAGAACCCTGGGAACTGGAAAACCCAAAAGGTCAGCAGCATTTGTCAGACTGCCACAGTCCACCCAACTCCAAAAAAGATACCGAGTGACCTAAGTGACCAGTTAGCACCAAGAGTGGCTTCCCGATGAGGTAGCCAGGATTCCCACTCCTAGGGCCAGTAGGAAAAGCAGCCTCTCTGTGCCGAAATGCCTGCAGAAGGAAGAAGACATTACTGTGCAAACATGCTTCCCCGCCGCACTCTTCCCGCCGGGCTCACTTCTTCCCTCTCCGCACTGCGGCATCATTGCCACTATTCCCTGGCTTTCCTCTCTAAGTCTGGAATTACCTGTTTGTTGTTGAGTTCCTGGGAGTACTAAGGATTAAATTTAAGGTCCTGCATATGCTAGGCAAGTGCTCTCTGCCTGATATAAGCAATCTGAACACTCAAATTCACTATATACTCATTTTGCCAAGGATTACTAAGGATCTACTAAGGATCCCTCTATACTATTTCTCAAATATTGGTACTGATTTCATGCCATGTGGGGCTTGGCTGAATCCAGAAGCATTTAAATATATATTTAATTTTAATCAGTATCACGACTGTGAGAGACACAAGCTGATCACAGACCTGGAAAGGACTCTGCTTGGTTTAAGCGGAGGAAAGGGGTAGAAAGGCAGACAGAGGACAGAAGTCAAAGTTCAGTGGGCAGTAAGATTATGAACGTTCAAAAATGAGAAAAGAGAGTAAAGGAATTTGTGTGCTGCTGACTGAACCAAAGAGTCACAGTGAGCATCTTTAACACGTTCTGATTCCAGTACCGTTTTGGTTGGGCCCAACCAGTGCATCAGAGAATATGTTAATGACACACATGTACTGAATACCTGTCACTCTAGCCAAATTAAGGAGCAGTAAATGTCAAGACCTCAAGTAAGACCAAAGCAGGCCTTAATATGCTGATTCCATTTCACATGAACTACAGGAAGAGTGCTATTATTTCTTTTCTATAAAGCAGAGTGGGGATTTTATTAGATATATTAGTAGAGAAAGAGGTGTAAAGACAGAAGACAGACAGACACACAGACACACACACACACACACACACACACACACACAGTATGGACACTGGTCTGCAATGTGCTCTTTTTTAGGACTCATCACCTAAAACAATCTCTGTGAGAAGGCTACTGACCCTGAAGTGAATGATGAAGTCTTGCTGTAAAGAAACACCTGGCTTGACAGTCAGGTTGGTCTGTCTAAAGCTGACAGAGACTTTCTGGATCCCAAAGGTCCCATTGGTTTCTATCTCATAGATGACCTGAAAAGCAAAAGAAGAATTAATTTATGAAACAGTGGTGGGTTTACTGTGTTCAGCACAGAAAGCTCTTCTGTGTTTTAACTGCATGCAAGAGACTTACATAGTGATCGGAACACACCAAAAATAATAGTATGCCATGGTAAAGATGACTTAATATTGCATTTGCATGCGGCTCTTAGAAAAAGTTCACAGAAGAGGTGTGCTTAGTTACGAGGTCCGCCTGCCTCTGCCTCCGTGAGTTGCTGGGATTACCTACACCCCATGCTTAGTTAAGAGTTTTGAGTGTGGGAAAAGACACACAGGTGTAGAATTAGACAAAGGCAAACACGGAATGGAAACCTTACTAGACCCTTAAGTGTCTGAAGAGAAATAAAGATAGTATCTGGGGACAAAGGGAGTACAGTCCTTAAAAATCATACTTTAGGATAATGCTTACTCCTTTACACGGTGTGTTGATTATAAGGGAAAACTAAAGTGGGCTAATCTCGGACTTTGAGAGGATGCCATGTCAGCAGGCAGAAATGTATAAAGCTGGTGAGAGGCGGCACAAGACTCTGTATGCCGAGGAAGCGCCTGACCCTAAAACACTGGGACAGTAGTGATGGACATGACTGAAGCACGGTGGGGAAGAAAGCAATGGGCTCAACTCCTGACGCTGAAATGACCTTCAGCAGTTCAGTGAGTCATGCTAGTCCAGTGGGTCCATGCTCAACCTGTGGGTTGTGACCCCACTGGGAATTGACTGACCCTTTCACAGGTGTTGCCTAAAACCATCAAAACCCACCAATATTTACATTATGATTCATAACAGTAGCAAAATTACAGTCACGAAGTAGCAACAATATAATGGTGGGGGGTGGTACCACGACCTGAGGAACTTAAAGGGCTGCAGCATTAGGAAGGCTGAGAACCGCTGATCTAGCCCTTACCAGAAGATGAGGCCGCTCTCCTGATACTGACCAATATGCACCAGAATCTATACCTGGGAGATAATATTCTGACATGTGTTTCCAGCCAGCAGAGGAGGACTGCTTTGTGAGGCAACTGTTACAGGAACCTGGAACTTGAAAGAGAAAAAAGCAAATCAACTGAAATTGAAAACAGCCTTTTCTCTTCCAGCTATAAATTATGCTAAAATGAATAATTGTCTTTTCTCTTGGCTATACCACTTTGCTCTCCTTCCAGTGCCTGACGACTTAAATTCAAGTTATTCTGAGTCAGCGTATCTCAAGACAACCTTCTTGGAACACTGTTTGTATCAGATATGAAGCAAGGGCTACAGCCAAGCAGATGTAAAGAGTTCTGTGTTCTGCCTCCCTTCTTAGACAATGCCCACTATTACATGAAAAGACTTAGAGATGCCCACTCCAAGCACAGCATTTACCTTGATTTAACGGGTATTTTCTAGACTTACCAGCATGTGAAGCTATTTCTAGAGCAATACTTGATTGTGGTAACAAAACACCTACATTCTCTTCCATTATTATAATCTAGAACGAAATGGCTCAGATGCACAGCAGCCAGTTATCACTTTTCCTGATAAATGGCATCATACCTTCATATTCTGTAGATCAGTCACACCTCTAGGAACCTAGGAAAGGCAAAGAATGGAGACATGAGGGTGCATATGCCTTCCATAAAATCACCAGGAGTTTCCACTTCCTATGACCCCACATGGACTTTGGTAGAGGAAGGGGAAGATCAAAGTACTTGAGTGGCCTCTGATCTTCTACCTGACTCTCCTCTCACAAAATGTCAGAGTGGAGCTGGATGCCATGCTGGACTGAATGCCTATACACCCAGAGCGAGCTCACTCAAAAAGCAAGAACTTTGGCAAAACAAGGAACTGTCACTGCTCCTTCAAGGAAACCCATCAGCCAGGAGGGTGACAAGGCCTTATCATGGAATTCCCGTCTCTAAGTTTTCCATCAGTCTCTTGGTAGTGTAGATCTTAGGAATTGTGACTTGAGCTTAGGGATTTTTCTACAGCCCACAGTGAGGTTGAGTGATTTGAGTCTGGAGAGTGGGGACGGAGGAACACTTACCTTCAAGACCGTGAAGTTGTAGTAAGAGGCAGCGTCCAGGGCTGGCTCAGAGGTGCAGCTACTGGCCAGGTCCCTGAAGAAACGAGTGCAGGCTGTGCTTTTACTCTCTAGGAAACCTTATAACACAAAGAGTGAAGGTAGCGGTGGGTGAGAAGGCCTATTTCCAAAAAAGCAAAAGGTTGGTGTACTCCTGCTCCAGACCCACCTGCAGGATTGTTCTCGGCACAAAGTCCCCCAGCTCCCACTGCTGCAGGCTGCCTCAGTAAGCTCACCACAGACAAGCTGGGATAGTAAGTCAGGATGGGATCCCCAGCCTGAATAAATGACAGGATGAAGTTATTCACAGCAAGCTTAGCCTCAACCGCCCAGAAAAAGGAAGCAGAAACAGAGCTTAAGTAGATAGTCTGTCTACTGTCCTCTAAAATGAGGCATGGTTGAGAACAGTGTACTTCATTGTAGGAGGGTACTGCAAAGTTACAAGCCAACTGTACTCTGTCGGGAAACCCTGACTATCCCACGCCCTTCCCCAGACTCACCCTATAGAACGGTCGTGACGGCTGGGTTTCTGATGTCAAGGTGAAGGACTGACCCCCAAACTCTGCAGCCAGGGCCTCAAAGTTGGTTGCATTGACTGTTGGGAGCTTCTGGAAATAGTTTAATTTTGCTAAAATGTTAAAAAACAAAAACAAAAAACAGAGATTTAGATAAAAGTGTTTCTTTTTATAAGTATCTCATGTAACAAACAATTAACCAGGCAGTGGTGTATCCTGCCTTTAATCCCAGTACTTGAGAGGCAGAGGCAGGTGGATCTTTGTGAGTTTGAGGCCAGCCTGGTCTACAAAGAGAGTTCCAGGATAGCCATGCTACATGGTGAAACCCTGTCTCAAAAAAAAAAAAAACCCAAAATAACAACAACAACAAAAAACCCCCCAAAAACAACAACAAAAAACACTTAACCTTTGGGGTACATCAAATACATTATCTCATGCAGATGGACATCAGAGTGTAAGAAAGTACTACAAGGTGATTCAGCAGGTGAAGGTGATTGCCACCAAGACTGACAATGACTTGAATTTAATCCCTGGGATTTACATGGTTGAAGGAGAGAACTGACTCTCATAGGCTGTTCTTTGATCTCCACAAGTGTATAATGACATGTATGCATGTCACATGTACATGTGTGTCCACCGCCATACACTCATAGTAAATAAATGTAATTTTTACAGAACAAAGTACTGCTTGGGCACAGGGGCGCTGACACCTGGTCTGTGTACCACCTTCTACTTCTTCCCTGCATCTCCGGAGCTGAGGTTTCCAGCTCTCCAGCTTCCTCCAGAAACTGCACAGAAAGGCTATCTACCTCCTAGCAAATCCAGTTATTGCTCCCTTAAGCAAAAGCTAAGGTGGAGTGGAGAGAGAAGATAAGGTTAGAGAGTCAATATCTATTGACTCTTTTCGTGGCTTTTTATCAGTAGGAGCAATTTGCCACTTGCCCCTCACTTCGGTATAGGTGTATTGATGAAAGTGGTGATAAGGACAGTTAACTCCATCAGTCTGTCCTCCTGCACACTGCCCTCCACCTTGTGCTCCTAGTTCATCCATCTAGTTACCGAGATCCTTCCTTCTTTTCACCTGCTACATCTTCTCCCTCTCTGTCTCCCACTCTTTGTCTTTCTGCCTCATGGTCTCTTAATCCCAAGCCCAGGCCCCTCAACTCCACCTACCTCTCTTCTGCCCAGTAACAGGCTTTAACATCTTTATTAACCAATCAGGGATAATTGGGGAACATTTCTTACATCACTTGGATACAGGAGATGACATACAAGTGAAGGCTACATACATACACAACAAGAATATATAACCGGGTGTGGTGGTACATGCCTATAATCCTATGGCTGAGGAAGGCAGAAGTAGGCAGATCTCTGTGAGTTCAAGGCTAGCCTGTTCTAAAAAGTGAGTCCAGAACAGCCAAGGCTACACAGAGAAACCCTGTCAAGAAAAACAAACAAACAAAAATTCAAAAGCCAAAAATAATATATTTTCTTGTTAATGTCCACCATCACACATGACATACTATCATCCAACAGTTTAAAGGTAGTTACATTCTGATATAACTGTGGATCTGAAAAGAAGCCTAGATACCATCTCTTCAATCCCATTAGGAAATCTGGATCTTCAGAGTCAAATGAGTTGCCAGGACCTCAGAGCAAGCTAGCAAAACCAGGAACAGATCCCCAATCTCCTAATTGTCTTCCATTATTTCCACTCCACCATGCTGTAGAGACCCTTTTGCTGTACTATTCATGGTAAATAAATAAATAATCAGTTTGTCCTTTTAAGGGGCTGACTTAAATTTATTTGGAGAGAGCCATAATATTCATAAAAACTGACACTCACATAATTAACTCTACTAGTTCTAAAGGAAGGACTTAAAACCAGTCCTTCAGAATTCCAAGGATGGGTTCACTTTCAACTCAGGCAAGAGATTCTTAGGAGAGCTAAGATGTTCAAAATACAAGGAGAAAGAGGACTACTTGAGTCAAGGAGAAAAGCAAATAAAACTTAGGGTTAAAAAATGAGGACAAATTGAGGAAACAAAAACTAAGGAAAAACTGAGGACTTGATACACAAAGTTGGCCAAAATAAAAGGTCAGGGTGAAATGATTAGAGAAAAACTTGATATGAGCGTAACATGACTGCCAGGCTAACGGTATTTTACAGGTACTGGAGAGTCACTGGAGTTTTCTGAAATTACTAATGTCCTCTACTAATAAGGAAGAGTAGGAGGGGTGAACAATGGGGATTCAAAAAAGGAAAGAGACAGGGCAGGCCCAAAGACAAAGTCACGTCTGAAATAAATGTTAATTGACAAGAACAACCAAACTTGTTTCTACTCACAATTGTTCACAAGGACACAAAAGTGTGTGATTCCACTGGAATCCGTGAAAACTCTGGAAGGAAATGGGGAGTTGCTCCTGAAGATAAGAGAATTGTCCACACATACCCAGTTTGAAGATCTGTGAGGAAAGATGAAGATACTGAGGAGGGATTGGGGTAGAATTAGGGGAGTGGGCCCACACCCACCGATGTCTCAAGCCTAAAATATGAGACTCTGAGGGCAGCTGTTCTGTTTTACTGGATGGTTCAGCTCCCAGGAAAAAAACCCAAGGCACTCAAAGCACCGCAGCTCACCTTACGCTTCCAGGAAGGCAGAAGGAAAAGACTGTCCTGGGGTGGAGAAGTTCGCAGTCCTTGTCACAGCAGCAGTTTAAATCGCAGGTACCAGGAGTCAAGTCACAGACACAGATCGGTAGGGCTATAAGTACAAGAAGTAATGCAAGATGAAGCATCCCAAAGTTTTCCCGTGTGGACAGCCCTACTACCAGGCTTCGTGACAAGCCAATTTTGTCTACAGGATTTTAGACATGAGTAGTCAGTATTTCCATCCCATATCCTGCTGTCTTACCTGGGAAGGGGTCCGTGGTCGCGTTCTCGGGCATTGATGGGGTCCAGGGAGCAGGGCCCTCAGATGAGTTCGGCGGAGCTGCAGTCGCCACTTCGGGCGTCACTGGCCCCAGGACCGAGGAGGAGGGTAGGGGTAGGGCTGAGGAGGAGGGCTGCGGCCGGGCGGCGTCAGGAAGCATCAGGACCACCATCGTCAGCAGGTGCAGCCGCAGAGTGCACATAGGGCAGCCGGGCCGCAGAGGGTTAAGACAGGAGCCTCCGTCTCCAGATACCGAGCGCGGGGAGGAGTGGTCGTATCGACGTCATCTGCCTCCGTCTGCCCACTGGCTCAGGCGGTTGCCGAGTCCTCTTCAGCCAATGGAAGGTCGTGTTGTTGCGACCCTGCGCGTCCTTCGTGCTCCGCCCCCCTCCTTTGCGGCGCTTGGCTCCCGTCACCTGGCAACCGCAGGGAACCACTAGGGCCCAAGTCGCCTTTGCCGCTTGCAGCCGCTAGATGGCGGCTGGCGTCGCGTCGGTGCCCTACGCGGACCTGGAGGAATCCAGTGAGGTCTTTCACGAAGGGAAGACCTGTAGGCAGGAACTGGAGTTACTTGTCTCTTTCGATCGGTTTTCCCAAGGTAAGAGGCCCTTTCTGTGGAAGGGCGTGATCTCAAGGAGAAAAACACGTCGAAAGTCACGTCCCTTAAGCATGCCGGGAAACTGAGTACGGATCACGCTCCTTACTCCCGAGACTCAAAACAGGATCAGTAGTCATCAGACACCCACAAGTGCACAGACACATGCAGGCAAAACACACGCATAAAATCTAAAAGAAAAAAAAAAAAGAAATATCTCCACTATAATACTACGGTATTTTTAAAAAGTACAATAAAGCGATGCTTATTCAACTCCATGAGTTTCTTTATCCTCTCCCGCCCCCCTTTCTGAGTCTCAGTTTCACGTATCCCAGGCTGACCTTCGAACTCAAGTGGTGACCATGGATGACTCAATTTCCGATCATCCTGGGTGCTGGAATTTCAGTCATACAGGCCACCACAACATCACAGAAGTCATGGCTTTGGCTTCATGCACACCGGGCAAACACTCTACCAACCTAAATTTTATCGAAATGTAAAAAAAAAATAAATAAATAAAATAAAAAAATTATTGAGTGCATCACATCAGCAAAGGGTAGTGCCAGGAGAGGTTCAGTACAAGAAAACAGGGTGGGATAGAATGTGAGGAGTTAGTGGTATTAAAATTTAAAAACATTTTTTCCCCCTGAGGAGAAAGAAAAGTAAGATGCAGAAATGGAAATAGCCAAGGAACCAAGGAAAAAGCATATTCCCGTTTTACCGTTTTAAATGGAAGATTTTATAACACTCTCTAGAGAGTGCTTTAGTCAGGAGTGGTATACCCCTTCTGGCTGCCCAATGGCACAAACATTCTATATTCCCGATAATCTGGTAGACACGGGCATGTATAGCTGTCATACATGTGGTGGGCCTCTCATGCGCTTGAGCTGTTAAATGTTTGATTTTAAAGTTGTAATTAGTTTACAAATAACCTAGGGTGGCTAAGAGCTATTGAACTGAGCAAGCTGGATTGTATATGATCAAAACCCACCTGCCAGTCATCTCCCTATAGCCACAGTTCCAATATCTGGGTTATTTTAATTGTTCAGGGAAATAAAGTAAGATCTGCCAGGGGTTACCTAACTGGGCTCTGGTCTACTTCCTTAAAATCAACTTCTTTTCCAGGGAATTTCCTGGACAGAGAAGATTTAGGACACTTGAGATTGCTCATATTTTCCAAGAAGACCTTAATTTTTATAATGCCTTGAAATCCGTAGCTAAATACATCTCTATGCTCTTAAGTATCCTCAAAATTTTTTTTGCGATTGGGTGGTGAACTATAAAGTAAATACACGTATGTATATACAGTGTTTGGCCTTCATACACTCTCATTTGTGGTGCTAAGGATCCCTAAGCTTTTTATTTTTCAAGATTTATTTTTAATTATGTGTAAGTCTCTCTGTGTGTGCCTCATGTGTGTGAGTGCCTGTGAAGGACGGAAGAGAGGGTAAGAGTGCCCTGGCGCTGGAGTGGCAGGTGGTTGTGGGCCTCCTGGTGTGGATGATGGGAACTGATTGCAGGTCCCATGGAGGAGCAGAAAGCCCTCTTCCACACCGAGCCACCTCTCCAGCCCCGTATCTCATAGTTTCTCAAGGGCCAAATCCATATTACTCAAATTACATGTATTTGCTAGAATATAATTTCTGTACAGCAAGCAGTTTTATGTGTCCTGTTTGCCGATGCACCCCATGCCTAGTCGTGCGAACCGCGTTCACGTGTGAACTTAGTGAAGAGTGTTTCGTTGACTCCTTCCGTTTAGTTCTCAGGAGATCATCTCATTTCAGGTTGCACCTAGCTTTCTAAACTTTGTTTTGTATCTGAGCACGAGATCTTTCAGATCTCAAAGTTTGCAATTTGCATTTCCTCTCTCAGGTTATTCCCAGATGATCATTGGGAAGCTCGGGCTGACTGATATAACTCAGGGTTGTCTCCTGGTAAGGAGTTACTGTTCAGCTATCTCTTGAGTTACTTTTTCTTATGTTCAGGTTTCCACACTCTAGGGCCAGGTTCAGCTCGGAGGCAGAATGCTTGGTTACCATAATACATGCCCTGCCCTCTGTCCCTAGCGGGGGGTGGGGCATGAGTGTACCTGTCCCTCCAACTTTTCTCTACTTTGTGGAGGTCTGGGAAAGAGGAAAGAAGAGGGTTAGAATTTGTTCCTAGTCTTCCATCTTGAGCCAATCTGCTATGTTTTCAACCACATGCTGAACGCTTTTCCTCTCAAACACAGACAGCTGCTGGAATTATATGATCTAAGTAGGAACTCTCTTCTTCTAAGGTGATGTCATATTAACACATCCCAACACTTGGCTCCACCTTAAAACTGGCATCTGCTTGGCACATGGGAACAAATTTCATCCTTCGCAAAACTGTCTTTCGATTTTAATACTAGATCCCTAGAGAATCGAGATTTTTATGTTAGGATTTCCTCAAACAGGAAGAATTTAGACAAATTTTTGTTCTACAGTTACAATGAATTATGTCCTTTCTCATTCCCTCTGTTGTAAAGCTAAACATCACAGAAGAGTCTGCTGTTCACAGACTCACTGGCAGACATGAACAGACCTTGAAATTGAAAAACATGGAAAGGGAATCTGGGGTAGAGATGGTGAGCAAGTGATGGACCAGCCTGATCCCCCCTTAGGATAAAAACCCATTTTGTTATATGGTCAGAATAAATTCAAGTTTGACTCACGAATACTCTGCCCTGATAAGATAAGGTGTTCTGCCAAGGAACCTTGAGATGTTATGCCAATATGATCTGTCAAACACTCGTAAACTGGCTTGCGAAATCCTTATGTTACCCTTTTTCCCTAGAAAAGGAGGCCTGAAAAGCTAACTGACCCTACTCAAATCCTGCTCCAGAGAGTCACTGCTCTGCATAGTCAATAATGCTTGCTTAGTTGGCTTTAATTTGGATGGTGGTTTCATCCTTGGCTGGAGGGATTAGCCCAGACAGCTGTGTGCTCCCCGCCTGCTGTAGCTTCAGCATTATAGACGCTCAACAGCCAAGCGGTCTCTTATCTCCTTCCTCTTGTGAAATTTTATCTTTGATCCTCAACTACAGTTCTGGCTTTGTAGGGAACCTTTTTCTCAAAAGGAGATGGCTCACAGTGTTACCGACAGGGCAGATCCTCAATCCAGGAATTCCCTTGTATTAATTGGGAATCTCAATATTCTTTAGAAGTCTGTGGTTTAGAAGTCTGATTGGGAGGCAGTCTTTTCAAAGTATGGCAAAAAAAAAAAATGTGGATTGCTCTGTGCATAGGGGCTTTGCCTTTGTCAAGTGTGTCAATGAGAGAAATGCCCTGGCTGCCGTAGCTGGAGAGGATGGCAGAATGATTGGTGGCAAGGTTCTAGAAACTAAACTGGCTGTGTAACCAAAAGTGAGCCGAGGACAAACAGGTATGAAATGATCTGCAGCAGAGATGCACAGTTCCTCATTTGATGTGGGCTGTGACTTTCAGTGGAATCATTATGACAGGGTATACAACTACCCAGCATGCACTCCTACTGCTCAAGCTCTGGTGCTTTCCAAATGCAGTGTGTGTTGGGAAACTCTTCACAAAGGGCCAAAAGTGCATTTAATTTGAAGAGTGGGCATCTGGGATCTGGAAATTTGAAAGATGATCTTCAGACCATTAAGAAGCAGCTGATTCCTGGTGGTAGTGGCACACACCTTTAATCCCAGCACTTGGGAACCAAGTGCAGTCGGATCTCTACAAATTTGGGGCCAGTCTGGTCTACAGATTGAGTTCCAGAACAGCCAAGTCTACACAGAGAAACCCTGCCTAAAAATAAATAAATAAATAAATAAATAAATAAATAAATAAATAAATAAATAAAAATAAATAAAACAAACAGGATCTGACCCAGATAAAATAAAAAGTGGATTCTTTGGCTGAGAAAGCCTGGAAAAATTGAAGAACAAAGCAAACAGGCAGACCTGTCCTTCTCATTTCCAGTAAAGTAGCATCTCTGCACTGAAACATGAAACTAATGTGAAGATGGAGTCTAAGGCAGAGCAGGTAGCCAGCTGGATGATGATGATAATGAAGATGGTGTGTGTGTGTGTCAGTGTGTGTGTGTCAGTGTGTGTGTCGGTGTGTCCAGCTGGATGATGATGATAATGAAGATGGTGTGTATGTGTCAGTGTGTGTGTGTGTGTGTGTGTGTTAGTGTGTGTGTTGGTGTGTCCAGCTGGAGCTAATCAAGAATGATAAAAGGCCGAGGAAGGCAAGGATGACTGATAAGCATGGGGGAATTTAGAAATCTTATCTGTTACGAAGGTGCTTGTGAAAGACTGAAGTAACAGCAGATCCTCTTCCCAAGTAGCTTCAGTGCATTCTCACTCTCCTCCCTCTTTCCTTCCTGTGTTCATTAATTCATGATTGCCTGCGTCTGGTACCTCTTTCACTTCCCTTGATTCTCCTTACTAGTTTTGTTAAGTCTTGCCCTGTAAGTTTTGTTTTAATTTTGATACCTCTTTGGCTTAACAATAAAAAAAATTTTTATAAAAAAGAAAACCATAAAAGGTGCTCTCAATGACTATATATATATATATATATATATATATACATACATATATATATAATTATGTATGTATATGAAAAATAAGGATTTTGACCCAAACTATGTGAAGAATCCATGGGAAGTTAAGAGTAATTGGCCAAGATTTAACAAAGCTCTTTATGAAAGAGTATATCTGCTGTAATTTGGCTCTGAAGTGTCTCAGAGGATTGGGGGTA